GAGCAGGGAGGAGGGGGTCCAGGGGAAGGGGGAAGGCTGGGGTGGGCCAGGGGAGGTGCTAAGAGGAGGAATGGGAAACTGGACCTGGAAATGACAAGAGTACAGATAAACTTGTCAGGTACGGGAGACAGAACAGGGTGACATGAGGGTTGGGAGCTGAGGGAAGACGAGGATAATGAAATGGGTTGGAGAGGAGGGGCTCGGATAGTGGGAAGAGGAGATTTGACGAGGAGGAAGGTCGGTTTGATTGAAGGTGTAGGTGAAGCGCTGGGAAGGAGTAGAGAGGACATGAGCGGAGGGAACGCAGAGCTGGACCAAGACGAGCATAAGTAAAATGTCACAACGTAGAGGCAGAGCAAGCATAGAGCATGGAAGTTCGGCCCGCACCAGCAAACAAGGATACCATTGTCAATGCCCGGTCTCTCTGTGAACGCTAATGAATAGTACAAAGGGATAGAGGAAAAGGGGCAATCCCAATTATTAATGAAGGGGAAATTTACACAAAAAGGGCCAGCGGCTGGCTGTACCACCTAAGAAGAAGAATAAAACACAACTCAAGTTCTGCGCTCGTTAATAGACGATGCGCGCCTCCTCCTGGTCGAACTCGACGGAGCCCGCGTCGACGGGGCGCATGAGGTACATGGCGAGCAGCTCGCCCACAAACGCCGCCTGCAGCGGCAGCTTCTGCACGCGCCGCAGCAGCTCGGGCGTCCCTTGGTTCGCATCAACGGCGATGATGCTCTCGTGGAGGCGCACGAGGTGATCCAGCTTGCGCTCGAACTCGGGGTTGTCGACGTCGAGCACGGCGGGGAAGATGCGCGCCGACGTGCGGTTCGTCTCCTTGATCACGTGCAGGTCGAACTGCTTCACGTCCAGCCCCAGGTTGCGGTAGAAGGCGGCGCGCTGGTGGTCGTTGAGATACATGGTCACGTACACGGAGAGGCAGAAGAAGCGCGCCCACAGCTTCGAGTCCCACGCCGTCAGGAACTTGGGGTAGCACTTGAGCATGGCCGTGATGAAGTCGCCGTGCCGGTTCTCGTCCTGGCACCAGTTCTCGAACTTGCCGAAGATCGGGTAGCACGCGAACTCGGGGTTCGCCATGAGGTGGCGGCAAATGGTGATGTAGCGCCAGTAGCCGATCTTCTCCGAGAGGAACGTGGCGTACAGGATGTACTGCGGCTTGAAGAAGGTGTACTTGCGCGCCTTGGTCAGGAACCCCAGGTCCAGCGACAGGTTGAAGTCCGACAGCGCCTTGTTCAGAAACCCCGCGTGCCGCGCCTCGTCGCGCGACATGAGCGTGAAGATCTCCGCAATGCACGGGTTGGTCTTCTTGAGGCGGCGGCCCAGCTCCTTGTAGAGCAGGAAGCCCGAGAACTCGGCGGTGCAGGAGCGCTCGAGGAACTCCACGAAGATCTCGCGCGCGCGGCCCTGGATCTTGTCCGCCGCCTCCTTGAACTCGGGCGAGCGCACGAAGTGCGTCTGGTTGTAGTCCGCGCGGAACTCCTCCAGACACGCGTCAAACTCCGCCTGGTTCACGTACGGGTTGATCTCGCGGTTGAACAGCTGCAAGGGGCGGAAGCGCGGTGGATCGGGGGGAAGGGGTGGAGATGGAAGGAAAAAGAGAAACAAGAGTGATGAGCTCGTGCATTCTGAACTAGTAAAACGGAGAAGGGAGCAAACAATGCAGATCCATGGAGTTTGCGGGATCGAGGAGAGGTGGTACGGGCGACCGTGAAAAATAGGCGTGACGATACGCCGCGGCGGAGCAGAGGCGAGTGGACGTACCGCTTCCATCTCGTCGAAGTCGGTGGTGTAGAAGCGCGGCGTGAGCAGCGTCTCCTGCGCGGGCTCCTTCGAGCCGTCCCTCGGCTTGTCCTTCCCGGCGGCGACCGCCGCCATCACCACGCGGCTGCTCGACGCGGAGCACCCGAAGCTGTGCTTCACGCTCGGCGCGAACGAGCTCGCAGAGCTCAGCTTGCTGCTGCTGGCCGTCATCGCCGCGGACGGCATTGCCAAGCGCGAGGACACGGACAGGGAAGAAGTGAGGGCCGCCATGGTTGCTGTTTACGGAACGGAAAGTAAGCAACAGCTGAAGCTGAAGGCTTGATCAGCAAGCAGACGAATGTGCTTGCCTTCGTCAGCAACAGTCACTCGTTCCTGCCTGTGTGACGGACGAGAAAGTAAAAGCTTAAAATGTTGATGTGATCGAACGCAAATGATGGGGGTATTTCTAAAATTTCCGTTCTGGGACCTGCCTAGGCAAGCCCAATGCGGGGGAGTCCCGAGGGGGAAAAGTGAGAGGAGTGAAATGTGACGTGGCGCGCAGCGGAATACGAGACGCGCCCACAGGAGGAGCAGATATGACAACGCATGTCGGTTGCTTTTTTGTGATTCGTCAAATTCTCGTGGGCAATCTACGTTTCCTAGGAGTTCTGTGCCAGCGAAGTTGACGACGAGCCCGTGGAAAGGGGAATTGAAATCCTGGAAGCCGACAGCGCAGCACTCACGGACCACGTGTCCAGGTCCTGGCGTGTGCTTGGATTTCGTCTTTTTAAGAAGGTCTCTATATGACTGAACTACACCGCAAAGAAATAAGTGTCTCAAATGATAAACTCTAGGTCTTAGCAAACTCCCTAAGGATTTAAATTATCATATATATTCGGTTGAACTACATGATGTATCACAACACTATTTCTCAGTTGGATAGTAATACATATGCTATATTTAAAAGGGGAGTAAACATTCAGTTCAAGATATTGTGTTGTTCTTGGTAATTAACTGCAAGAAATGCCCATTATTAGTTCTTGTTGGCAATTGGTCTCAATGGGTTTCTGCATCCACCAAAAAGAAAAGAAAAGAGAAGAAAAAAAATACAGACGAAGCAAATACTGGTAAGTCCATCTGCTTATGGGTATCAAAGACTCAAAACCACTCAGAAATGCCAGAAAGTCTGCGCTTACCTGGGAGAGGCAGGCTTCTTCCTTCCGAGCGACTTCATCCCACATATCTCCATCTCCCCTTCACTCTCACTCTCACTCCCAAGCAATGCCGCTCGTCTGTTCTTCATCCGCCTCATGGCCGTTCCCCCTCCTTCAGTCACACCCCCTCCATCACTATCACTCCCGTCACTGTCACTATCCAATACCGCTCTCCTCTGCCCCCTCCCCCTGCCCTTCCTCTCGCCCACTGGCCTCAAGACAACGTTCTCTATCCCACCATTCCTCTCCTCACTGCCCCCCTGCCCGCCAGGATGTTTCCTCTCCCCGACAGGCCTCAATTCAACCTTAAACGTCTGGGCCTTATCTGCCACAATTTCTGTATCGCCATCTTCCTCATCCTCTTCCTCCTCCTCATCCTCCTCATACCCCTCCGCCTCCTCCCCGTCCTCATCCTCATCCAATCCCTCCTCACCCACTTCCTCAACATCCATGTCATCCATCTCGCCCCCTTCCTCTCCTCCTTCACTCCCCACATCCCCACCGTCACTTACTTCCTCAACACCCTCAGTCTCATCCTCTGCCTCCTCTACCTCCGCTGCCTCCTCCGCTCCCTCTTCCCCTTCTCCTTCCTCTGATTCCTCCCCTTCCTTCAGCCCACTTGCCCTCCTCTGATTCCTTGCCTTCCCCCTACGCCCTGCACTCCTCTGCACCACCACCTCCTCCACTTCATCCTCACTCGCTTCTACACTCTCCCCCTCATCCTCCTCTCCACTCTCCCCCTCATCCTCCTCTCCACTCTCCTCCTCACTGCTACTCCATGCAACCAGCTTCCTCCTCCGCCCACCTCCTCCGCTGCCAGCCCTCCCACCCTTCATGCTGCTCCTGCTCTTCCTCCCGCTGCTGCTCCCACTCCCTCTCCTCTCCCCCTCCTCCCTTGCCCCACCCCGCGCCCTCAATGCTCCCTTCAAAACCTCCCTGCTACCCACACTGCTCCTCGCACCACCACCACGGCTGTTCCTCCTTACACTCATCCCCCTCCCTTCGTCCATTTCTCCCTCTGCCTCCTGAGTATCCACCGCCTCCTCCTCCCCAGCACTTTCCTCCTCCACCTTTTCATCCTTCTCACCCTCCTCCTCACTCTCCTCCACCCCACTATCACACTCCATAAACTCTCCTGCTTCTGCCTCGTCACTAGGACCATCACTCTCCGCATCTCCAGAACCGGCATCCCCAACATCCCCAGCAGCCTCTTCAGCAGGCTCCTCAGCAGCCTCCCTGGAAGCAGCCCTGGCAGCGGCTTTGGCAGCCGTTTTAGCAGCCTTGGCAGCAATGGCAGCAGCAGCGGCAGCAGACGCCTCCTCCTCCTCCCTCTTCTCCTCGTGCGTCCTCCCCATTAACTCCTCAAACCTCTCTAAGTCCTCCCTGAGCTCTGGCTTTGCAAACTTCTTTGCCTGGTGGGAGTGGAGGAAAGGGGTGGTTGGAAAAGAGATTGCTATTCTGTAATGTGCAATGCATGTAACATGCAGGTAAGCTCCTCAAACCTCTTCCACCCCTCCCCCAGCTCTGGCTTTGCAAACTTCTTTGCCTGGTGGGAGCGAAGGAATGGGGGGAGCGGGTTGGGGAAACAGGGGTTGTTATTCTTCCCTTCGTCATTGCGTCATTCATGTCCTTTCAGTTGTCCATCATCCGCCGTGCTCCCCAAGAGTCAACTCACCTTGTCACTGGCGGTCCTAATACAACTCAGTCCCACACCCTCACAGCCCACGCACCTTACTAGTGGCCGTTCTTAGATACTCCCGCACGGCAGCGTCCCCCAGGGCGTTCACCCCAAGAGTTCACTGGACCACAACCCAGTGCCCCCACACACCTTTCCACTGGCGGTCTTTAGATCCTCCAGCACGGCAGCGTCCCCCAGAGCGTCCTTCATGTCCTTTTAGCCGTCCATCAGCCTCCGCTACTCCACCACCACAACCCCCAGCCCAAGCGCGCTCACCTTGCCAGTGGTGCTGCCATTCGCCACCCCCAGTCATTCCACCATCACAATCCCCAGACCCCACGCACCTTGCCAGTGGCGGTCTTGAGGTACTCCAGCACGACGACGTCCCCCAGGGCGTCCTTCATGTCCTTGTAGTTCTCCATCAGCCTCCGTGCACCGCCACAGTCCACTTACCTTGCCACTGGCAGTCAGAAAGCACCCCAGCACCGCAACCCCAGACCCCACGCACCTTGCCAGTGGCAGTCTTAAGGTACTCCAGCACAGCAGCGTCCCCAAGAGCGTCCTTCATGTCCTTGTAGTTGTCCATCAGCCTCCGTGCACCGCGCTCGGAGATCGGCAGCAGGGAGAGGCAGAAGGCCACCATGCGCTGCTGCTGCACCCTCCCATCCCTGCCACCCCTGCTGCTGCTACCGTTGGCGTTCTTAGTAGTGCCGCCGTTGTCGCTGCTGTTGGTGCTGATGCCTTCCTCAGAAGCAACAGCAGGAACCACGTCAGGAGAAGTAGCAGACGCGGAATCCGCATCAGCAGCACTGGTAGCGCCATTGGCAGCAGCGGCATCTGCCATAGTCCCAGCAGGAACCACATTGGGAGAAGCAGCAGCAGCAGCAGCAGCCGAGGAGGATGCGGGGTGGGCGTTGGTGAAGCGGTGGCAGAGCTTGTCGATGAGCCCCTCGCGCTGCTTGTCCTTGTCTATGAAGGCGATGAGGAAGCGCAGGATGGCGTGCAACGAGGGCTCTGAGAGACGCGGGTTCACCGCCATGTGGCTCAGCATGTCCGGCAATAGGTTGTAGACCAGAGAGGAGCCTGGGGGGTGGAGCAGAAGGGTGGGAGAGGTGGGAGGGAAGGAAGTAGTGGGGTGAGGTACAGTGGGATGGGGAAGGGTGCAGGTGTAAAACGGTCCTGCATCCTCTGAGAGGCGTGCGCACAAGGCCACGAGGCACAGTATGTCGGGGAGGAGGCTGTACCCGAGCGAGGAGCCTGCAGGTGGAGGGGTTGTGAGGATTGGAGACGTGCGAGAGGCGGTGACAAACGCTGAGATGGCACCTGGACAGGTGGCAGACGGACACGGCGAGAGGATTGTACGGGCGAGAGCGACGGAAACGGCGGGTGAAATATGATGGGGCAGCGATGGAGCAGGCACGGAGTGGAGAGCAGAGAGCACTCACCCTTTTGGGAGAGCAGAGAGCACTCACCCTTTTTGGAGAGCAGAGAGCACTCACCCTTTTTGGAGAGCAGAGAGCACTCACCCTTTTGGGAGAGCAGAGAGCACTCACCCTTTTGGGAGAGCAGAGAGCACTCACCCTTTTTGGAGAGCAGAGAGCACTCACCCTTTTGGGAGAGCAGAGAGCACTCACCCTTTTTGGAGAGCAGAGAGCACTCACCCTTTTGGGAGAGCAGAGAGCACTCACCCTTTTGGGAGAGCAGAGAGCACTCACCCTTTTGGGAGAGCAGAGAGCACTCACCACCCTTTTTGGAGAGCAGAGAGCACTCACCCTTTTTGGAGAGCAGAGAGCACTCACCCTTTTTGGAGAGCAGAGAGCACTCACCCTTTTGGGAGAGCAGAGAGCACTCACCCTTTTTGGAGAGCAGAGAGCACTCACCCTTTTTGGAGAGCAGAGAGCACTCACCCTTTTGGGAGAGCAGAGAGCAGTCACCCTTTTTGGAGAGCAGAGAGCACTCACCCTTTTGGGAGAGCAGAGAGCACTCACCCTTTTTGGAGAGCAGAGAGCACTCACCCTTTTGGGAGAGCAGAGAGCACTCACCCTTTTGGGAGAGCAGAGAGCACTCACCCTTTTGGGAGAGCAGAGAGCACTCACCCTTTTTGGAGAGCAGAGAGCACTCACCCTTTTTGGAGAGCAGAGAGCACTCACCCTTTTTGGAGAGCAGAGAGCACTCACCCTTTTTGGAGAGCAGAGAGCACTCACCCTTTTGGGAGAGCAGAGAGCACTCACCCTTTTGGGAGAGCAGAGAGCACTCACCCTTTTTGGAGAGCAGAGAGCACTCACCCTTTTTGGAGAGCAGAGAGCACTCACCCTTTTGGGAGAGCAGAGAGCACTCACCCTTTTGGGAGAGCAGAGAGCACTCACCCTTTTTGGAGAGCAGAGAGCACTCACCCTTTTTGGAGAGCAGAGAGCACTCACCCTTTTTGGAGAGCAGAGAGCACTCACCCTTTTGGGAGAGCAGAGAGCACTCACCCTTTTGGGAGAGCAGAGAGCACTCACCCTTTTGGGAGAGCAGAGAGCACTCACCCTTTTTGGAGAGCAGAGAGCACTCACCCTTTTTGGAGAGCAGAGAGCACTCACCCTTTTTGGAGAGCAGAGAGCACTCACCCTTTTTGGAGAGCAGAGAGCACTCACCCTTTCGGGAGAGCAGAGAGCACTCACCCTTTTTGGAGAGCAGAGAGCACTCACCCTTTTTGGAGAGCAGAGAGCACTCACCCTTTTGGGAGAGCAGAGAGCACTCACCCTTTTTGGAGAGCAGAGAGCACTCACCCTTTTGGGAGAGCACAGAGCACTCACCCTTTTGGGAGAGCAGAGAGCACTCACCCTTTTTGGAGAGCAGAGAGCACTCACCCTTTTTGGAGAGCAGAGAGCACTCACCCTTTTTGGAGAGCAGAGAGCACTCACCCTTTTTGGAGAGCAGAGAGCACTCACCCTTTTTGGAGAGCAGAGAGCACTCACCCTTTTGGGAGAGCAGAGAGCACTCACCCTTTTGGGAGAGCAGAGAGCACTCACCCTTTTGGGAGAGCAGAGAGCACTCACCCTTTTTGGAGAGCAGAGAGCACTCACCCTTTTTGGAGAGCAGAGAGCACTCACCCTTTTTGGAGAGCAGAGAGCACTCACCCTTTTTGGAGAGCAGAGAGCACTCACCCTTTTTGGAGAGCAGAGAGCACTCACCCTTTTGGGAGAGCAGAGAGCACTCACCCTTTTGGGAGAGCAGAGAGCACTCACCCTTTTGGGAGAGCAGAGAGCACTCACCACCCTTTTTGGAGAGCAGAGAGCACTCACCCTTTTTGGAGAGCAGAGAGCACTCACCCTTTTTGGAGAGCAGAGAGCACTCACCCTTTTGGGAGAGCAGAGAGCACTCACCCTTTTTGGAGAGCAGAGAGCACTCACCCTTTTGGGAGAGCAGAGAGCACTCACCCTTTTGGGAGAGCAGAGAGCACTCACCCTTTTGGGAGAGCAGAGAGCACTCACCCTTTTTGGAGAGCAGAGAGCACTCACCCTTTTGGGAGGGCAGAGAGCACTCACCCTTTTGGGAGAGCAGAGAGCACTCACCCTTTTGGGAGAGCAGAGAGCACTCACCCTTTTTGGAGAGCAGAGAGCACTCACCCTTTTGGGAGAGCAGAGAGCACTCACCCTTTTTGGAGAGCAGAGAGCACTCACCCTTTTTGGAGAGCAGAGAGCACTCACCCTTTTTGGAGAGCAGAGAGCACTCACCCTTTTTGGAGAGCAGAGAGCACTCACCCTTTTGGGAGAGCAGAGAGCACTCACCCTTTTTGGAGAGCAGAGAGCACTCACCCTTTTTGGAGAGCAGAGAGCACTCACCCTTTTTGGAGAGCAGAGAGCACTCACCCTTTTTGGAGAGCAGAGAGCACTCACCCTTTTTGGAGAGCAGAGAGCACTCACCCTTTTGGGAGAGCAGAGAGCACTCACCCTTTTGGGAGAGCAGAGAGCACTCACCCTTTTTGGAGAGCAGAGAGCACTCACCCTTTTGGGAGAGCAGAGAGCACTCACCCTTTTGGGAGAGCAGAGAGCACTCACCCTTTTGGGAGAGCAGAGAGCACTCACCCTTTTTGGAGAGCAGAGAGCACTCACCCTTTTTGGAGAGCAGAGAGCACTCACCCTTTTTGGAGAGCAGAGAGCACTCACCCTTTTGGGAGAGCAGAGAGCACTCACCCTTTTGGGAGAGCAGAGAGCACTCACCACCCTTTTTGGAGAGCAGAGAGCACTCACCCTTTTTGGAGAGCAGAGAGCACTCACCCTTTTTGGAGAGCAGAGAGCACTCACCCTTTTGGGAGAGCAGAGAGCACTCACCCTTTTTGGAGAGCAGAGAGCACTCACCCTTTTTGGAGAGCAGAGAGCACTCACCCTTTTGGGAGAGCAGAGAGCACTCACCCTTTTTGGAGAGCAGAGAGCACTCACCCTTTTGGGAGAGCAGAGAGCACTCACCCTTTTTGGAGAGCAGAGAGCACTCACCCTTTTGGGAGAGCAGAGAGCACTCACCCTTTTGGGAGAGCAGAGAGCACTCACCCTTTTGGGAGAGCAGAGAGCACTCACCCTTTTTGGAGAGCAGAGAGCACTCACCCTTTTTGGAGAGCAGAGAGCACTCACCCTTTTGGGAGAGCAGAGAGCACTCACCCTTTTGGGAGGGCAGAGAGCACTCACCCTTTTGGGAGAGCAGAGAGCACTCACCCTTTTGGGAGAGCAGAGAGCACTCACCCTTTTTGGAGAGCAGAGAGCACTCACCCTTTTTGGAGAGCAGAGAGCACTCACCCTTTTGGGAGAGCAGAGAGCACTCACCCTTTTGGGAGAGCAGAGAGCACTCACCCTTTTTGGAGAGCAGAGAGCACTCACCCTTTTTGGAGAGCAGAGAGCACTCACCCTTTTTGGAGAGCAGAGAGCACTCACCCTTTTGGGAGAGCAGAGAGCACTCACCCTTTTGGGAGAGCAGAGAGCACTCACCCTTTTGGGAGAGCAGAGAGCACTCACCCTTTTTGGAGAGCAGAGAGCACTCACCCTTTTTGGAGAGCAGAGAGCACTCACCCTTTTTGGAGAGCAGAGAGCACTCACCCTTTTTGGAGAGCAGAGAGCACTCACCCTTTTGGGAGAGCAGAGAGCACTCACCCTTTTTGGAGAGCAGAGAGCACTCACCCTTTTTGGAGAGCAGAGAGCACTCACCCTTTTGGGAGAGCAGAGAGCACTCACCCTTTTTGGAGAGCAGAGAGCACTCACCCTTTTGGGAGAGCACAGAGCACTCACCCTTTTGGGAGAGCAGAGAGCACTCACCCTTTTTGGAGAGCAGAGAGCACTCACCCTTTTTGGAGAGCAGAGAGCACTCACCCTTTTTGGAGAGCAGAGAGCACTCACCCTTTTTGGAGAGCAGAGAGCACTCACCCTTTTTGGAGAGCAGAGAGCACTCACCCTTTTGGGAGAGCAGAGAGCACTCACCCTTTTGGGAGAGCAGAGAGCACTCACCCTTTTGGGAGAGCAGAGAGCACTCACCCTTTTTGGAGAGCAGAGAGCACTCACCCTTTTTGGAGAGCAGAGAGCACTCACCCTTTTTGGAGAGCAGAGAGCACTCACCCTTTTTGGAGAGCAGAGAGCACTCACCCTTTTTGGAGAGCAGAGAGCACTCACCCTTTTGGGAGAGCAGAGAGCACTCACCCTTTTGGGAGAGCAGAGAGCACTCACCCTTTTGGGAGAGCAGAGAGCACTCACCACCCTTTTTGGAGAGCAGAGAGCACTCACCCTTTTTGGAGAGCAGAGAGCACTCACCCTTTTTGGAGAGCAGAGAGCACTCACCCTTTTGGGAGAGCAGAGAGCACTCACCCTTTTTGGAGAGCAGAGAGCACTCACCCTTTTGGGAGAGCAGAGAGCACTCACCCTTTTGGGAGAGCAGAGAGCACTCACCCTTTTGGGAGAGCAGAGAGCACTCACCCTTTTTGGAGAGCAGAGAGCACTCACCCTTTTGGGAGGGCAGAGAGCACTCACCCTTTTGGGAGAGCAGAGAGCACTCACCCTTTTGGGAGAGCAGAGAGCACTCACCCTTTTTGGAGAGCAGAGAGCACTCACCCTTTTGGGAGAGCAGAGAGCACTCACCCTTTTTGGAGAGCAGAGAGCACTCACCCTTTTTGGAGAGCAGAGAGCACTCACCCTTTTGGGAGAGCAGAGAGCACTCACCCTTTTGGGAGAGCAGAGAGCACTCACCCTTTTGGGAGAGCAGAGAGCACTCACCCTTTTTGGAGAGCAGAGAGCACTCACCCTTTTTGGAGAGCAGAGAGCACTCACCCTTTTTGGAGAGCAGAGAGCACTCACCCTTTTTGGAGAGCAGAGAGCACTCACCCTTTTTGGAGAGCAGAGAGCACTCACCCTTTTGGGAGAGCAGAGAGCACTCACCCTTTTGGGAGAGCAGAGAGCACTCACCCTTTTTGGAGAGCAGAGAGCACTCACCCTTTTGGGAGAGCAGAGAGCACTCACCCTTTTGGGAGAGCAGAGAGCACTCACCCTTTTGGGAGAGCAGAGAGCACTCACCCTTTTTGGAGAGCAGAGAGCACTCACCCTTTTTGGAGAGCAGAGAGCACTCACCCTTTTTGGAGAGCAGAGAGCACTCACCCTTTTTGGAGAGCAGAGAGCACTCACCCTTTTTGGAGAGCAGAGAGCACTCACCCTTTTTGGAGAGCAGAGAGCACTCACCCTTTTGGGAGAGCAGAGAGCACTCACCCTTTTTGGAGAGCAGAGAGCACTCACCCTTTTGGGAGAGCAGAGAGCACTCACCCTTTTGGGAGAGCAGAGAGCACTCACCCTTTTCGGAGAGCAGAGAGCACTCACCCTTTTTGGAGAGCAGAGAGCACTCACCCTTTTTGGAGAGCAGAGAGCACTCACCCTTTTGGGAGAGCAGAGAGCACTCACCCTTTTGGGAGGGCAGAGAGCACTCACCCTTTTGGGAGAGCAGAGAGCACTCACCCTTTTGGGAGAGCAGAGAGCACTCACCCTTTTTGGAGAGCAGAGAGCACTCACCCTTTTTGGAGAGCAGAGAGCACTCACCCTTTTGGGAGAGCAGAGAGCACTCACCCTTTTGGGAGAGCAGAGAGCACTCACCCTTTTTGGAGAGCAGAGAGCACTCACCCTTTTTGGAGAGCAGAGAGCACTCACCCTTTTTGGAGAGCAGAGAGCACTCACCCTTTTGGGAGAGCAGAGAGCACTCACCCTTTTGGGAGAGCAGAGAGCACTCACCCTTTTGGGAGAGCAGAGAGCACTCACCACCCTTTTTGGAGAGCAGAGAGCACTCACCCTTTTTGGAGAGCAGAGAGCACTCACCCTTTTTGGAGAGCAGAGAGCACTCACCCTTTTGGGAGAGCAGAGAGCACTCACCCTTTTTGGAGAGCAGAGAGCACTCACCCTTTTTGGAGAGCAGAGAGCACTCACCCTTTTGGGAGAGCAGAGAGCACTCACCCTTTTGGGAGGGCAGAGAGCACTCACCCTTTTTGGAGAGCAGAGAGCACTCACCCTTTTTGGAGAGCAGAGAGCACTCACCCTTTTGGGAGGGCAGAGAGCACTCACCCTTTTGGGAGAGCAGAGAGCACTCACCCTTTTGGGAGAGCAGAGAGCACTCACCCTTTTTGGAGAGCAGAGAGCACTCACCCTTTTTGGAGAGCAGAGAGCACTCACCCTTTTTGGAGAGCAGAGAGCACTCACCCTTTTTGGAGAGCAGAGAGCACTCACCCTTTTTGGAGAGCAGAGAGCACTCACCCTTTTGGGAGAGCAGAGAGCACTCACCCTTTTGGGAGAGCAGAGAGCACTCACCCTTTTTGGAGAGCAGAGAGCACTCACCCTTTTGGGAGAGCAGAGAGCACTCACCCTTTTGGGAGAGCAGAGAGCACTCACCCTTTTGGGAGAGCAGAGAGCACTCACCCTTTTTGGAGAGCAGAGAGCACTCACCCTTTTTGGAGAGCAGAGAGCACTCACCCTTTTTGGAGAGCAGAGAGCACTCACCCTTTTTGGAGAGCAGAGAGCACTCACCCTTTTTGGAGAGCAGAGAGCACTCACCCTTTTTGGAGAGCAGAGAGCACTCACCCTTTTGGGAGAGCAGAGAGCACTCACCCTTTTTGGAGAGCAGAGAGCACTCACCCTTTTGGGAGAGCAGAGAGCACTCACCCTTTTGGGAGAGCAGAGAGCACTCACCCTTTTGGGAGAGCAGAGAGCACTCACCCTTTTTGGAGAGCAGAGAGCACTCACCCTTTTTGGAGAGCAGAGAGCACTCACCCTTTTGGGAGAGCAGAGAGCACTCACCCTTTTGGGAGGGCAGAGAGCACTCACCCTTTTGGGAGAGCAGAGAGCACTCACCCTTTTGGGAGAGCAGAGAGCACTCACCCTTTTTGGAGAGCAGAGAGCACTCACCCTTTTTGGAGAGCAGAGAGCACTCACCCTTTTGGGAGAGCAGAGAGCACTCACCCTTTTGGGAGAGCAGAGAGCACTCACCCTTTTTGGAGAGCAGAGAGCACTCACCCTTTTTGGAGAGCAGAGAGCACTCACCCTTTTTGGAGAGCAGAGAGCACTCACCCTTTTGGGAGAGCATAGAGCACTCACCCTTTTGGGAGAGCAGAGAGCACTCACCCTTTTGGGAGAGCAGAGAGCACTCACCACCCTTTTTGGAGAGCAGAGAGCACTCACCCTTTTTGGAGAGCAGAGAGCACTCACCCTTTTTGGAGAGCAGAGAGCACTCACCCTTTTGGGAGAGCAGAGAGCACTCACCCTTTTTGGAGAGCAGAGAGCACTCACCCTTTTGGGAGAGCAGAGAGCACTCACCCTTTTGGGAGAGCAGAGAGCACTCACCCTTTTGGGAGAGCAGAGAGCACTCACCCTTTTTGGAGAGCAGAGAGCACTCACCCTTTTGGGAGGGCAGAGAGCACTCACCCTTTTGGGAGAGCAGAGAGCACTCACCCTTTTGGGAGAGCAGAGAGCACTCACCCTTTTTGGAGAGCAGAGAGCACTCACCCTTTTGGGAGAGCAGAGAGCACTCACCCTTTTTGGAGAGCAGAGAGCACTCACCCTTTTGGGAGAGCAGAGAGCACTCACCCTTTTTGGAGAGCAGAGAGCACTCACCCTTTTTGGAGAGCAGAGAGCACTCACCCTTTTGGGAGAGCAGAGAGCACTCACCCTTTTGGGAGAGCAGAGAGCACTCACCCTTTTTGGAGAGCAGAGAGCACTCACCCTTTTGGGAGAGCAGAGAGCACTCACCCTTTTTGGAGAGCAGAGAGCACTCACCCTTTTTGGAGAGCAGAGAGCACTCACCCTTTTTGGAGAGCAGAGAGCACTCACCCTTTTGGGAGAGCAGAGAGCACTCACCCTTTTGGGAGAGCAGAGAGCACTCACCCTTTTTGGAGAGCAGAGAGCACTCACCCTTTTTGGAGAGCAGAGAGCACTCACCCTTTTGGGAGTGCAGAGAGCACTCACCCTTTTTGGAGAGCAGAGAGCACTCACCCTTTTTGGAGAGCAGAGAGCACTCACCCTTTTTGGAGAGCAGAGAGCACTCACCCTTTTGGGAGAGCAGAGAGCACTCACCCTTTTGGGAGAGCAGAGAGCACTCACCCTTTTTGGAGAGCAGAGAGCACTCACCCTTTTGGGAGAGCAGAGAGCACTCACCCTTTTTGGAGAGCAGAGAGCACTCACCCTTTTTGGAGAGCAGAGAGCACTCACCCTTTTTGGAGAGCAGAGAGCACTCACCCTTTTGGGAGAGCAGAGAGCACTCACCCTTTTGGGAGAGCAGAGAGCACTCACCCTTTTTGGAGAGCAGAGAGCACTCACCCTTTTGGGAGGGCAGAGAGCACTCACCCTTTTGGGAGAGCAGAGAGCACTCACCCTTTTGGGAGAGCAGAGAGCACTCACCCTTTTTGGAGAGCAGAGAGCACTCACCCTTTTGGGAGAGCAGAGAGCACTCACCCTTTTTGGAGAGCAGAGAGCACTCACCCTTTTGGGAGAGCAGAGAGCACTCACCCTTTTTGGAGAGCAGAGAGCACTCACCCTTTTTGGAGAGCAGAGAGCACTCACCCTTTTGGGAGAGCAGAGAGCACTCACCCTTTTGGGAGAGCAGAGAGCACTCACCCTTTTTGGAGAGCAGAGAGCACTCACCCTTTTGGGAGAGCAGAGAGCACTCACCCTTTTTGGAGAGCAGAGAGCACTCACCCTTTTTGGAGAGCAGAGAGCACTCACCCTTTTTGGAGAGCAGAGAGCACTCACCCTTTTTGGAGAGCAGAGAGCACTCACCCTTTTGGGAGAGCAGAGAGCACTCACCCTTTTGGGAGAGCAGAGAGCACTCACCCTTTTGGGAGAGCAGAGAGCACTCACCCTTTTTGGAGAGCTCGTGGAAGAAAAGACGGGCGAGGTCAGCGTTGCGCGGCTCAGGGTCCTCCAGACACACCGCCAGGCTGCTGATGTGGCCCTTCACCTGGAGGTGGGGGGAGAAAGGGGACGGGCAAGGAAAGAGAGAGGAAGGGAAAGAGCAGATAGGCAACAGCATCTTCAGCATGACATGATGACGAGGGCGCTGAGTGATAAGGCGCAGAGTAGTGTACGCCAGGGGTGCCCACAGCTGAGGAGTTCATGTGAAGCCATCTAACCAGACCCACCTTCTTTATGTGAGAGAGCACCAAGAGAGCCTGTCTTCTCACAAACGCGTCCCCATCGCTGAGAGCGGTGTACGCGTGGGGCGTCCACGGCTGCAGCAAGTTGGGGCAGCACAGGGCGAGGCCTCACAGATACCTACCTAGGAGCTCTGCTCGAGACCCCTGCCAAGAGATCTGTATCCTACGATAACTTGTCACACCGCGACCTTCATGTGACGCCCTCAACCCCAAGAACCAGGTCTCACCTTCATCATGTCGTTGAGAATGAGGTGGGAGAGGACCAGCAGCGCCTGCCGCCTCACAAAGGCATCCCCATCGCTGAGAGCAGTGTACGCGTGGGGCGTCCACGGCTGCAGCAGGTTGGGGCAGCGCAGAGCCAGGTCTCCCAGGGCCACCATGGCGTTGGCGCGCACAGAGGGGTGCGGATGGGTGCGGAGGAGTGTGAAGAGCAGCTGCAGGTGGGACTCGCTGTGGGTGGGGAAGGAGGGGGGAGAAAGGAGGAGAGGAGTTGAGTCAATGGGAGTCAATGTGCGTCAAGGTGCGTCAGGGTGCGTCAAGGTGCATCGAGGGTCGTCAAGATAATTCAGAGTGAGAAAAGTTGAGTCAAAGTGAGTGAGTCAAGCTGAGTCACGGTGAGAAAGGGAAGCTCACCATGTTGACTTTTGAGTCGACTCAAAAGTCAACTCTTTTGAGTCGACTCAAAAGTCAACTGAGTCAAGCTGAGTCACGGTGAGGAGGGGAAGCTCACCAGAAGTGGCTGTCGATGGCCATAAGCTTCGACAATGAGAGCATGGCGCACACATACACCATGTTTGAGACGGCTTAAAACAAGGTGAACTGCGGGGGAGTCAATACGAGTGAGTCAAGGTGAGTGGGGACAAGTGAAATGCTCACCAGAAGTGGCTGTCGATGGCCATGAGCTTCGACAATGAGAGCACAGCGCACACATACACGCCCTGACTCGCCGCAAACGCCTGAGGCCGCCTGCACAGCGCCGAGACGAACCACGCTACCCGCCCCACCAGGTACTCCCTCCCCTCGCCCCGCCTCCTCTCCAGCCCCTTTTCCATGGCCACTATCTCCCCCTCCACCTGCTCCTGCAGCGCCTCTAGCTGCGCCTCTGCTGTCACTGCCGTCCCAAGCTCCTCCCCCATCTTATCCTCCCTTCCCCCGCCCTCCCCTCCATCACCTGCTAGCCCCTCTTCCTCCTCCCTCACATCCACACTCTCCTCTCCCGCCTCCTCCTCCTCACTCTCGTATTCGTGCGTTGCAGGGGTGGCAGCGACGCTTCTCCTCTTCCCTGCCCCAGAGACTGTACTCTTCCGGCCAGTGCTCTTCCTGCCTGCCTTTGGCTTTTTCCCGGTCAGGCTGGCCTCCATGGCTTCGGCAGCCGCTTCAGCCTCTGCTTTTTCCTTTGCTGCCCGGGCCGCCCGGATGCGGCGCACAAGCCTCTCCACGTGGACCAGGTGCTCTAGGGCCGCCTGCCCGGTCACAAAAACGAAAGTTGAGAGCTTTGCAGCATCGAATCTTCTAAGGGACATCTCAAAGCCTCTCTCACCCCCACCTGCAGCTGTAGCTGTAGCAGCAGCGGCAGCAGCGGCGGCTGGAGCTTCATCAGGGACACCAGCACTGTCATCCCCATCAGCACCACTTGCACTAGTGCCCAGACCTTCAGCATCAGCATCCTTGCCATTCTCATTGTTGCTTGTCACTCCTTCCTCCCCACTCGTTCCTCCTGTACCATCTTTGTCCTCGCTTCCAGCCTCCCCACTACCATCCACAACACCACTCACGCAACTACCCTCCCTCCTTTCACCCTCCTCTCCTCCAGCACTATTCCCCCCTCCACCCACCAGAACGGCACCATGTCCAAACATCCCCTTTACAAGCTTCTTCAGCAGCACGCCACAGTACCTCTCCGGTGCAGGATGCAGCACATAAACCGCCCTCACCGCCTGCTCTATCACCCCATACCTCGCCCGTTCGGGCAGATCCAGCGAGCTGCCTGAAATAACCCCCTCCAGCAGCGCAAATACCCGGTGCCCTGCCCCCATTTCCTCCCGAACCTCCGCAGAAACCCTTTGCAGGGCGATACAGGTGTAGAGAGCAAGGAGAGGGTCGCTCTGAGCCCGCCTGCCTAGGCCTATGGCGAGGAGCGCGCTCAGATGGTGGTTGAGGATTTCCGGGCGGGTTTTTGCGGCCATGGAGAGGAGGATCAGCGCGCCTGTGCTCTCTGCTGACGTGGCTCCGGGCAGGTTGAAAGTGAAGATGTCCCATAAGATGGTCACCTGGTGGGGGTTAGGGGTGAAGGGGAGAGGAGAGGAGGAAAGACGAGAAGATTCAGCGTAATGATTCAAAGGTTCAAAACAGAAATAGAGACATTATGAAACGTTAAGACGAGAAGATTCAGCGGAAACTGCACCGTAGCTCCCTGTTTGTTGTGTTGTCTATTTGACCTGCCATTCCCAAGTCATCCCCAGCACCAAATTGGCCCCGCAATCCTCCCCTTCCATCTCATCGCACCATTTGCATCTTGGCGTCCACCAGTACGAACGTTGTGCACGAACGTGCCCACCAGCACCTCCGGCGCTGCCAGGTCGCCAGAATCATTTCCCCGCACTCGAGAGTCATTCTCATCTTTGCGACTTCACTAACTTCCATTCTCATCTCACCAAACCCCCATTCAACATCATTCGTCTCCCTCACCATCTGCATGGTGACGTCTCCGTTGTGCACGAACGTGCCCACCAGCATTTCCAGCGCCGCCAGGTCAACAAAGACATATCCACACGAACAAAGACATATGCACTCACACGTCATTCTGCTCATCTCACCATCTGCATGGTGACGTCTCCGTTATGCACGAACGTGCCCACCAGCACTTCCAGCGCCGCCAGGTCGCCAGAGGAGGCGCCGTGCGTGAGAGCCACGAGGCTGCGCGCTGCCTGCTGCGATGAGCGCCCCTTCACGTGCAGCTCCAGCACTGCCGCCTCCACCGCTGCTCGCACTGCTGGGTCGTGGGAGAACACCTGAAAGGAAAGAGGGGGGTGGGGTAGCCGACGGGGTTAGTAGGAACCAGAGAGGGCAAAGAAGAGGGGGTGAGAGCTGGCTGCTGCGCTGACCGCCCCTTCCCATGCAGCTCCAGCACCGCCGCCTCCACTGCTGCTCGGACAGCAGGATTGTGGAAAAAACACCTGAGAGGGAAGGGGAAAGGAAGGTGTTGAGGAAGGGAAAAGAAGGTGGGAAAGGAAGGAGTGAGGCTTGTGTCACGTGCAGCTCCAACTCTGCCGCCTCCACTGCTGCTCGCACTACCGAGCTGTGCGAGAACACCTAAAGAGGGGAAATGGCTGGGGAAAAAGGGGAGGGGCAAGCCGACAGGTTAAGGAAGAATTTAACATAGCACAGATAGAGGGAACAGAAGCGTAGAATCCCAACCCAACAGCCGTCTCCCTTACACTCGTTTCCCGTCTCACCAGAGGCAGTTTTTGAGTCGCTCGCTCGCCCCATCCACGCGGAAGTGCTGCAGCGCCGTGAGCAGCAGGATGGCGCCCTCCACGTCCGACACGGCGCTCGACCCCAGCAGCGCCGCCAGCACCCTTTCAAATGCCCTCCCCTCTTCCTCTTCTTCCCACTCAACCCTTCCCCACCCAACCCCTATCCCCACCCCTCTACTCCCCACGCTCATATCTCACCAGCGGCAGAATTTTCTTGAGTCGCTCGCTCGCCCCATCCACGCGGAAGTGCTGCAGCGCCGTGAGCAGCAGGATGGCGCCCTCCACGTCCGACACGGCGCTCGACCCCAGCAGCGCCGCCAGCACCCTTTCAAATGCCCTCCCCTCTTCCTCTTCTTCCCACTCAACCCTTCCCCACCCAACCCCTATCCCCACCCCTCTACTCCCCACGCTCATATCTCACCAGCGGCAGAATTTTCTTGAGTCGCTCGCTCGCCCCATCCACGCGGAAGTGCTGCAGCGCCGTGAGCAGCAGGATGGCGCCCTCCACGTCCGACACGGCGCTCGACCCCAGCAGCGCCGCCAGCGCGCCCGTGACGGCGGCCAGCAGGCGGCAGAACTGCAGCCCCGCGCTCAGCGACGCCACCAGCGTGCGCGTCTGCTCCACCCCGAACGACCGCCCCAGCACCGCCTTCCCCCCCGCGCCAGCTGCCCCTGCTGCGCCTGCTCCACCTGCCGCGCCAGCTGCCCCAGCAGCTCCGTCTGGAAGCCCCTCTGCAGCACCACCAGCTGCGCCTCCTGCCTTGCCTCCCTCTCCGTGTCCCTCCCCATCTCCCTGGGTGGCCTGGGAGTCCACCCAGCTATCATCACCCACACCTCCTTCGGATTCCCCCACCACCCCCACTTCCACCGCTGCAGCCGCTGCTCCTGCCCCTTCATTTCCTGCACCCTCCATCCCCTCGCCCTCACCCTCTCCATCACCGTCACCCTCGCCTCCTTCCCTGGCCTCCTGCTGCTCGGCGCGCCGGCGGCTCTCCTCCATGGCTGCCAGCTCGACGCGCGCCTTCTCCAGGGTGACCTCGAAGGGCGCCACTCGCAAACTCGGGCCGAACGGGTTCTGGTGAAGCATCTCGCCCAGGAGCTGTTGGGAGGGGTTGGGAGGGGTTGGGAGTGGTGGAGAGGGGTGTGCGGGAACATGAGTGAGACGAGCCTTTTCCGGGGTGACCTTGAAGGGGCTTACTCGCAAACTCGGGCCGAAGGGGTTCTGGTGAAGCATCTCGCCCAAGAGCTGTTCGCAGGGGCTGGGAGTGTTGGAGAGTGGTGGAGAGAGGTTTGAAGGGCACGATTACCATGAGCGAGACGAGCCTTTTTTAGAGTGACCTCAAAGGGGTCCTTTGGGAGAGTGGTGGTCGAAGAGTGGACGGAAAACACACCCGTGCAAGCAGGTGTGAGTACGCATACGGGTGTGGAGGCATCAGCCAAACGACCCCTTCACCTCTCACCTGCAACGCATTCTTCCTGACTAGCGACGACTTGTCCTCCAACCGCCCCACCGCCAGCTCCGCCACCGCGTTCCAGTGCCCCAGCGGCACCGCCTTCTCCCCGCACAGCCACGCCCACGCCTGCATCACGCGGCTGCGCACGTGCGCGGACTGGTCGCGCGCGCGCTCCATCAGCACCGCCAGCAGCCCCTGCTTGCTCCGCAGCCGCTGCAGCCGCGCGCGCATCGCGCCCCTCGCCGCGGGGCCTTCCTCCTCCGCGCCACCCGCGGAATCCCTTCCGCCCTCCCCGTCCTCGTCCCCTTCCGCTCCTTCCCCTTCCGCGCCCCCGTCTCCTGCCGGGGGCACCGCTCCGCCAGCGTCGGCGGAGTAGAGGCGCGCGAGGAGGCGGCTGATGGCGGTGACGATGGCGCAGCGCAGCACGGCGGACTCCCCGTGCTCAAGGTGCGGGACGAGCAGCGGCAGGGACGCGGCGAGCAGGCGGGGCTGCTTGTTGGCGAGGGCGACGAGGAACTCCGCCACCTGAGGGTATGCGGCACGTGGGCATGGGGGACACGAAAGACGTGAGAGAAGTGAGGGACATGAGAAAACTGAGGAGCGTCGCGAAGGTGGATAACGTGAGTGAAAAAAAATAAGACCAAGTGTCAAGTGGGAGAGAATTTGTGAGAACAAGTGTCTGGGGATGCGAGCAGGCGACGCTGCTTGTTGAACGTCAAGGAACTCGGGGATATAAGGCGTTGCAGAATGACCATGTGCAGCAGTAGGCAGGTCAGAATACCCGCCAACTGCACCACCCCGTGCACGCCAGTGTTCCTTCGGCTGTACCCCCTTCAGCCTCGTTCTCTCCACGCCCTGCCTATTAGTTGAGGCACGCAGGATGGAAACAAACTCGAACCGAAGCCGCGGAACGCGGACTCACCTCGTGCACGCCGCTGTTGGCGCGGCTGTACTCCTTCAGCCCCGTCCTCCCCACGTCCTGCAGAACCGCCGCAGCCAGGCTCGCCTGCCCCAGCTGCTCATCCGCGTACACCACCACGTCCGTGACTATATCGGGGGAGTGCTTCTGGTGGTGCAGCAGATGCAGCAGCCCAGATACCACCTGCACCAGGTACCCCTGCTTCACGGCGCACTGCGCCACGATTTGCACGAGCGGCGCGCGCACATCCCCGTTCTTGAGTAATTCGGCATCTTCAAAGAGCGTGAGCGCCAGACTGCAATAAGCTTCCATAAGGCTCTCTTCTGGCGCGGAGCCGTGGTAAAGAGAGCTGAGCTTAACGGATGTGGCTGTAGCGAGCGCCTTGAGCACCTTGGGCATTTGGCGCTGCCACTCCCACGAGTGCGACACCACCGCCTTCTTCCGCGACTGGCGACCCCCCTGAGGAGACAAATGAGGAAGGAACGAGGAGGGACCGAGGAGGGAACAAGGAACGAGGACGAATAGATGCAGATGAGGTGAGGTTATTGTTGGTCTGTGATCACTTCGAGCCTCGCAGAAAACATTTCAAGTTCAGGATTTCATCAAATTACCTTTTGAGAAGGACGGTCGGCATTTTCAGTCGCCTTGGCAAGAGCTGCGTGCTTGACGATACATGCGAGGAAGTAACTGTAAATCTTGATACAGTTTTTGTAGGATCTGATAGACGGCCCTGACGTGGACACGTCAGTGTCAGCCGCTGACGTGGAGGAGCTGCCGGAAGACGATGCCAGGAATGCCGCGATGGATGGAACGAGGCAGCTGAGATTCGTCGCCAAGGAGTCGATCAGAAGGTCCTTGGACGAGGCATCCAGCTGGTCAAAGTACCTGCAGAGAGTTTACAGTGGAGTGCGAAAAAGGAGATATGAACATGATAGCGTTGGAGATGTTCTGTGGATTCAATAAAACGGGTTAGGAGTTGAAACCTAGCGAGTCAGAAAGAAACGGAAGGTAAGAAACGGGCGTATGTGGCCCGTTTTGCCTACTATGCCTGGGTGACGTACTTGACAGCCGAGTATAGTTTGTTGAATGTCTCTTGCTCCTGCACGCAGAAAATATCCTTTTCTCCGAGCTCACGCGAGATTTCTGCACGAAAAATACCGCAGTACCGTCAGAATAATAGCGAACAAGCACCTTCAAATAGTAGCTGGAAAGAAAATATTGAGTCTGTGAAGGTGGACGATCTATGCTGCCAGCTTCTACCAGAAAATTAGTACCTCTGACAAGGTTGGGCTCGATCGCCGCTTCTGCTACATCTGTGGCATGAAGACACCCTAAGGACTCGTCGTCATTCTGCTCGAGGTCATCCAGATTTTTCGGAATCCTAAACTCCATGCTCACGGAATTTCTCCGGCCACACGACTACGGGGTGTTCCTCTTTGACAAAGCGAGTCTGACTTCTAATGTCCTGCACGAGAGGTGCAACGCTACTGCCTTATACTCATTACGCGGTAGTCCAGCCCTTGTTAATTTGGCAGTCGAAACCTGATGAAAGGAAAGCACAGCCTGAGTGACAATGGTTGACTAGACTTGCTGTTTCCCATAATTACCTTTTGAATGGCTGACCTGCTTGCAAGTTCGATCAGTCACAGAAAGAAAGGGAGCGCCGCACTGAAACAGCCTGAATCAGATGGAACCGTTTACAACCGTGCCATCCCAGGAACTGAAACACAGGCATCCAGCGAGTCGCAGTGAACTGGAAACCTTGGGATCCCCAGCAAACAGAATTGCCTCGTGTGGTTTGCTCTGATTGGTGGCAGGCAGACCCTATGACCAGGCTTCAGGAATTTGGCGGGAAATGTTTTCAAATTCGTCAGACCTTCTGACCCACCTGAAACTGGCGGGAGTCCCGATGGTATGTGCTGCTCTTCTAGATAATGTCACGAACTCAATAACTTATACATTCCGCTGGAGTCATTTCCCAGTCGAAATACGCAATAACGAGCCACAAAGGCTTTCCCCCAACTGAGCTGAATGGCGTAAGCAAAAAGGTGGAGCAAAAGCAGAACCAGTAATTGTGACGCCGATTAGTACTTGGGCCGCTGGGGCATTATCCTGCTCTTCACCTCGTATCGCGTCTGTATGCGCGCCTGCAGTTATGATCTTGACGGATCCGACTGTCGTCAGCCAAGGGCGGCACTTGGTGGCTCTTGGGAGCCAAACAATGGCTGGGAAACATGGTTATGCACGCACGAATGACGTTATGCGAGCTCTTAGACCCGTGCACTCTAGGCCTAAGCTGAAAACCTGGAGACCTGATACACGGCGGACGACCCAGAAGTATCGACACTACTCGCAAATCGTGATTGATTCATGAATGCTCGCGCATCCTTCTTGGTCTCATCCCAGCAATTTTTTCCGAAGAGTTACTTCAGGCTCCCTTGGCTGTCTTGTTCCAGTACTGATCTCCTTCCCATTGTGGAACCCTAGTGTTCTTTCTGGTGTGTCCTAATTTCGTTGACATGGCCAGCCCAATACATGCTTCAGGGCCTGCGAGATCCCTCCCATTATCACTCAGAATATCACCTCCTAACCCAAGACCAAACTCCGTTGCATCAGACGGGCGGATAGCATTCTCCTACGTGGCGACAACGCTACATAGGGCAGCACAGGGAGCCGTACGAGTGGTCGTAGCTGCACTGCAGGCGTTGAACGGGAGGTTTCGGGGAGTACCCATTTGGATTCGCGAGCCAATACTGCTGTGTGTTGTTGTGCTGCTGCTGTCTGTCTCTTTGGTCGCGGCCTTTGTCTCTGGCATGGGGATGCCTGGGTAAGATTCCGGCTATTAAGGACACTCAGCCACAAGTCTGCACTTCATTCTTCTTTTCTCCAATCCTTCCGCTCAGTTTTTTTTTTTATCCTCTCTATTTTCAGGGACTACTCGCCAGTTTCTATTGCTATTATGAGGAAGGCTGTGCATCATCATTCGCCAGCAGCTGCTTCCTATGCTGCATCGTTATCTGAAGCTGTATGTGGGGGCTCTCGTGTTTGTGCAGCCAGATTCGCAGTTCAGGCATGGCTGCAAGCATCAGCAAGTGAATGTGGTGATGATTGTGTTGTGATAAGAATGGAACCTCCTGGAAACTCTCTGAATCTGTGGGTTCATTTCAGGACAGGCACTAGGGGAATTGAACTTGGGGTATCCTACATTGTAGCTCTGATGGTTGTAGCCTTTGGTGCCTTCCTGGTTCACTTCTTGTCGGTTGGGTTTCCATAAAAAAAATGCATTTAATCTTGTATTTTCTGCGGAATCATAACGAAGTTGCATGTATGGTGTTATTTCCTTGTTGCCTTGTTTTCCCAATTTCCAGTTCAATTCTTCCTTAACGGATCTTGTTTATACAGTTCACTTTGTATTTCTCTGTACCAGTTTCAAGTGCAACGTGTACCCGCGAACATTCATACATTTGGAATCGGAAACTAGGGTTCCTGTGATCCTTCTCTGTTCGTTACCCGCGAACCGTGTCGCTTACCAGTTTGCCCACTAATCTCCCCTTCGCTCAATGGTTGCCGTTCACTTAGTTAGCGGCTGAAGTAATCAGCCACGGATCGTAGCAGCGGCGACAACTCCTGGGCATGTCGTGGGCTGGGTTGCCATTTCTGCCTGGGACATCGAGCCTTGTTGAGGAGCTAGACAGTAAGCACCTCGCCTTGACCGATAATTTGAACTTAGGGGAGTCCTTTATTGACGATTTCTGACGTTTGTTTGGGCAGAGAAACTTCTCGTTGTTCTTAGAGATGGACGTAAAATAATCGGTATCCTGCGCTCTTTCGACCAATTCGGTACGTGGCACTCAGGTCATTCCTAAGCTTACGTTTTCGTATGCAGTTCCACCGAACTTATCGATGTTGCTGGGTTCTGTGCGCAGCTAATCTTGTGCTGGAGCGTACGACTGAGCGGATTGTTGTTGGCGAGCAATACTGCGACCTGCCTCTGGGACTGTACATTATCCGAGGAGAGAACGTCGTTCTCATAGGCACTCTTGTAAGTTGGTCTGATTCATGAGGCTCTTGTTCTTCGTTCTTGGTTGAAGTTCTTTCGCTGATTGTGGTTCACGATATGCCGTTTCAGGACGAGCACATGCCAGAAATGCCTCCTAATATGGTTTCCGTTTCTTTACAGCAGATTCGACAGGTATGTGAAGCCCTAATAATCTGCTTGCCCCGTTAAGCTTTAGTGTATATTTTGCATGACCCGAAGTCTCCTTTCCTGCTGTTTGTAGGCCCAGAAAGAGGAAAAAGAGGCATCCGAGCTCAAAGGAATGTTGCGGAAGCAGATGGATTTCCTTGACATTGAGTAGCGTGTTTTTCAAATGAATGTCGTCCAATGCCTGTAGTCCATTGGCCATGCTAACCTGCAAGTCTATTAGCAGGTTGGCCCGCACCTTTTATCGCGGATGGCCTTACCCATTGCAAAATGGAGAAGTATGCTCCAGTTATGGCCTGCGTGTGTGTAGTAGTCGCTGTTGTGTCCTGTGCATTCAATCCATTTTGATCAAGCAGGGAGCAAGCCTGAATGACGAATGGACTTTGACATTCAATCAGCATGTCAAGATCCAGGACCAGGACACTGGAAGCAAAAGAAATTAGCTTGCTTACCGTATGCTGTTGATGTGGATAACTACCAATTACCATAGGTGGAGGCAGTGTCTACACTTCACAAATTAATTTATCATAGGTGTCTTCTATGGTGAGAGTACTGGTACTTGTCTTGCTTTTGCTATGTGGTGGAATGTTCGTGGACGTGTTGTAACGTCTGTGACGCCTGTTGTTCAAGAGTGCTTGTATTGAATCGTGTCTGCAGGCATAGCGGTTCGCAGGACAAGCAACAGGCTTCACCACGCGCCTACCTCCTGACGCCATGGGGCAGCCCTGCGAGCACAGGCTCGATGTGCCCGCCCCTCCCATCCCATCCCTTCCTCAGTGCTGTGCATTGCCCCACTGAACAGCCCACGCCGCCCTTGATCGCGGTTGTGAGTTACGAAAGAGCGAACAATTCATCAATCTTCGTGTACAGCAGATTCACATTTCGTTGTGCCGGTGATGTCTTTCGCAAACGCTACACGAACGAGATCGCGCTGTAGTGAACGTTCGAGTAACAGTTCAAGCGTTCGCCGACAAAGCTTTGTTGCGAGCTCACGATTCTGCCTTGCTGGAGGTATGTTGTGTTTCATCCATATGGCATTTGCGAGAGATAACGGGAACGACAGACCTATGGTGGTCATTCATTACCGTCCCAAGGCGACCCACGCACAAACCTGTCGTGTTGCAGCTTGTTTTAGCTCGCTTCTGTTGCAACAATGCGTGGCACTCTCTTCAAAAGTTCTTAACCTAGGCGCGAACCCCATGAATCACTCAGTCGAACAAGGCTTGTTCGACTGGCCTTTTGTGGACGGTGTGGATCAAGAAAGACGACTATACTCGCCTACATTTGAGACCCGATCAAGGCTACGAGCATTAACCTCCGGAAGTTTGTTCAAGTTTCGCGGTTCCAAACAAGTCGAATTTCTTTGTCGACTCAGTCGGAATGGCTGATTTCGCTCGTGAGTCGTGCGTCATGCTACACTCGTAGTAGGCGTACGACGCGGCGTGCTTACATATAATTATGTGAGCCAAACTCGAGTTAGACAAGCCAAACCTCACCTGAGTTAGACTCGAGGCTCTCTACTCCAGCGAGTGAGCTGAATTCGAGCGAGCCAACAGACAGCCTTTCCCTGATCTGATCAGTCAACCAACCAACCAGGCTTGGAGTGAACTTTAAGTCGTCTTAGAAGGCTCGGAGAGAACTTCGAGTCTAACGCGGAAAGAGATGATCGGCCGACCCAGAAGCGTACGCAGTCGCGTAACGCATAGCAGCGGTAGCCAGAAGCGACTTCAAAGTCAATCCAGGGGCCGTCAGGATCGGACGCCGGTTCGCGATGAAGAATCGTATGGTAACACATATCGTTCCTGTCTTCGCCTGGTTCGCACGAGGCGGCGGAGATGTCTGTTACCAGAACGCCGCAAGTGCGACTGCCGCGGGGGAGTGCGGTGGACGAAGCTGATACCAGAAGTGATTGTTTCGAAGCTGAGCCTGCATGCTGTCGTCGTCGCTCTCTGCATTCTCAGTCAGCGTTCGCATATGGCGCTGGTCCGAGCCGCAGGTGAATGGTCAGATCCTGAGAGTGCAGTGAATGGCCGGATATAGCTATCTCAGATTCCAAGCAGAGCTCAGGGGGAGCATTTTCAGAAGCCAATGCTTGCAGAGGATGCGAGAGTTTTGCGAGAGCCAGCTAGAATGCTAATTTCGGAATACTTTTGTTCATCCCTTCATTCCCCTCCTCGCCCTTATCACAGCTCACAGGAACGCATTTCACGAGCCATCCCGCCACTCGTCGCTGTACCACCTGCATCCGCGTAGTGTGTGGCATCGGAATAACAATAGTACCGAATCAGCGAGATCAACCAGTAACGAGGATGGTTACAGATCCGCTACGGACAGTTCACAACCTGTGCAAGTACAGTCACAGTCAGAGTCACCTTCCCTGCTGTCACACCACGCACATGCACATTCACACTTACATGCACAGTCACAATCGCAGTCAGAATCAAAATCACAGGCACAGGTACAGTCACAGTCTCTGCGATGGGCCGAGCCTCAGGAGTGGATGAATCCATGGCTGAAGCAGCAGGTTCGGTCCGAGCCTGCAACAATGGCTTGGTTGGACGCATCCATGGCGCAGGAGGCTCGTCCCGTACCTGCAGCGTTGCTTGCTGCCGAGCCGAACTCTGCTGCCGAACCTCACCCTTATGGTCTTGCTTCGGATCCTGCAGCTACTACTGCTGCTAAGCAAGGTGAGACTGAAAGCTGTACCTCCTGGGAGCTGTCATTTCATGTTTCATACGCACCCTGAGAGTTCCCTAAAACACCGTCCGTACACATGCCTGGTGTGAAAGCATTCCATAACGAGTACATCACACGTTAACCTGCTCAGAGAGGTGCGTGGGGACTGATACATGCGATACATACAAGCTGACACGCACATATACACTCAAATATGCTGATATCGGCCCCATCACGCCGGATCAGCGTGTTCCCCCTTGGCCTCAGCGTGTTCCCCCTTGGCCTCAGCGTGTTCCCCCTTGGCCTCAGCGTGTTCCCCCTTGACCTCAGTGTGTTCCCCCTTGGCCTCAGCCGTGCTCATCCGAGTGACGAAAGAGTCTCACTTCAGCAGGCGCACCAGACAGACACCCCTCCCTTCCACCACGGTCATTCTGGAGCTTCAGAACCACCTCATTCTCACCCGCGGGCTGCTGTTTGGTCCAGAGTATGCGTGCACGGTGCTGCAATGAAGCCATTTTCTTCAGGCCGATTCACACACACCTCCTCTTCCCCCCTCCCCTTTGCAGGAGGGTCAGCGTGCTCCCCCCTGGCCTCAGCCGTGCACATCCGCGTCACCAAGGAGGCCGATTTCATCAAGCGCAGGCGCCACCCTCCCTCCACCACGGTCGTTCTGGAGCTTCAAACCCACCTGACTCTGAAGCGAGGGCTGCTGTTTGGTCCAGACTATGCGTGCACGGTGCTGCGATCGAGCGCGGGGGCCAAAGGGAGGGGGTATCGGCTGTACTTGCATCGAGTGGATGAGCCGCTGCTGCGCGTGTGGAACACCAGCAATGTGATCGTGCAGCGCGTGCAGGTGAGAGCGGTGCTGTGCGGTGCCGTGCTGTGCAGTGTGGTATCTAAGCAACGTAGGGAGAAAATTCTGGTTGTACGTGCATCGGGTGGATGAGCCGCTGCTGAGAGTGTGGAACACCAGCAACGTGATTGTGCATCGCGTGCAGGTGAGGCTGATGTGCTCTGCTATGTCCTATGCAGGGTCGGAGATAGCATAGCATGCAGGTCGAAAGGACTTCATCTGCCCTCTCATCCACACATACCCCACCTCCTCCCCCTCTCTTATTCCTTTCTTTCCTCCTCTCTCCCCTTTCACCCACATTCAGATGTCACAGCCATTCCGAGCCTACTCACAGGCATGCCCCAAGGAGATTCCCGAAGTGGGAACAGACATCATCTGCCCTCTCATCCACGTCTACCGCTCCTACGGCGTTCAGATCGTTAAAGTGAGTCTGCTAGTAATGAGTACAGAGGATTATAGTGCTCCTATGGCGTTCCAACCATGGCGCCCTCTCATCCTCATCGATCTTATGAGAATGACAGGCGTGTCTGGTTTCAAGAGGGGCAGCTGACTCACTAATGCTTCCTTCCTTCCCCCCCTTCCCCCCCCCCAGGGCTACACGTTTGGCCGGGTGGACATAATGCGGACCATGCACAGCCGCATTGACTCGATGAGGATGACAGGCGTGTCCGACTTCAAGAGGGGCAACGGAGTGATCCGAGTGATGCTGTCGGGGTATGGGCCGCTGCTGGTGCGGGCTTACATCTACATCACCAACAATGAGATCTATGGTGGGTGGGTTTGATGGGGTGTGGTGTGGTGTGGTGTGGTGTGGTACCTCGTGTTTGTTTCCACGTGTGCAGCACCAATCATGTGTGTCTGCTGTCTGGGTATGCCCCCCTGCCGGTTCGTGCATACGTCTACATCACCAACAATGAGATCTATGCTCTGCGGGTGTTTAGTTACACAACACAGTATGGCATGGTGTGCCATACCCTAGCTTGCTTGCTTGGTGGGGCACGGGCCCCTGCTGGTGCGCTGTCACGTGTACATCACCAATATTGAGATCCTTGGTAGGCGGCGTTGATCTAATGGGGTGGGGTGGGGTGCGGTGTAGCGTGGTGTGGTGCGGTGCGGTGCTGTTTGGTACCTCTTGCTTGCTGCCACGTGTACACCACCAATCACAGGCCATGCTGTCGAGGTACGGACGCCTGGTGGTGTGCTGCCACGTGTACATGACAAATAAGATATCTACGGTAGGTGTGGTGTGGTGTGGTGCGGTCTGTTGTGGTGTGAACTGGTGTGGTGTGGCGTGTTGTGGTGTGATGCGATGCAGTATGGCAACCCTTGGCGCTATAAAGGCAGTGCTCACAACATTCATGTGCATGACCATATGTGGGCTGCAACTCTTTGTGCACTCCACTCATCAACCCCTCTCCATCGCTTTCCACGCCTCTCCATCCCTTTCTGCCAATCTCCACACCCCCCAGGCGCGTACATGCCAGTGCTGTTACACGTGGGAGCGGTGGGCGTGGTCGTGAGGAACAACTACGTGCACGACTTCGTGTTTGCTGGAATCACGTGCGGCAACATGGTGCACTCACAGGTGCGTCGCTTTTGAGAAGTCTCAATGGTTAAGGTGGGAGCAGAGCAGTGGTTAAGCCAACCACGTGCACAACTTCGTGTTTGCTGGAATTACGTGCGGCAACATGGTGCACTCGCAGGTGAGGGAAGTTGCGAGTCGACCCAAAACACGCCTGGCACGGTGAGAGCAGTGGTTAAGAACAACTACGTGCATGACTTCGTGATGCTGCCATCACGTGTGGAAACATGGTGCAATCGCAGGTGAGGTGCCTTCCTGCCAGTGATGCTCCAGTTTGGTGTTGTGGGGAGCAGTGGTCAGGAACAACTATATGCACGACATGACTATGTGTTTGCTGCTATCACGTGCGGCAACATGGTTCACTCGCAGGTGAGGGAAGGGTTTTGAGGCGCCTCAGAACAAAGTGCACTAGCAGGTGAGGGAAGGTTATTTTGTTTTTATATTCTAGTCCAAGGATGGTAGTGGTTAAGAACAACTAAGCGCACGACTTTGTGTTTGCTGCCCCACATTCGGCAGTATGGTTCAGTCGCAGGTGAGGGAAGGTGTTTTATTGTCGACTCAAAACACACCTGGCACAGTGGGGGCGGTGGGTAAGAACAACCACGTGCATGACTTCGTGCTTGCTGCAATCACGTGCAGTGATATAGTGCACTCACAGGTGAGGGAAGGTGCATGGAAGGTTCAGTTCAGGTACGGGGCGGTGGCCATGTGGCAAGTGAGGGATGCTGCTCGTGCCTGTCTCCTCACGTGGTTGACTTGTAGCCACCACGTGAGGCGACAGGACAGGCAGGAACAGCCACGAGGTTCTTTTGAGGCGCCTCAAAAGTCGCGTGTGTGGGAAGTGAAGTGAGGGATGCTGCTCATGCCTGTCTCCTCACGTGGTGGTTGACTTGGAACCACCACGTGAGGCGACAGGCAGAAACAGCCCTTCTCTCAGGGCGACTGCATGCTGAGCATCATCTCAAGCAACCTCGTTCACCCTCTCATTCTCCCTCTTCCCCTTGCCCCCGTTCGTTTCCCCTCCTCTTCCACAGGGCGACTGCATGCTGAGCATCATCACAAGCAACCTCAATAACCCCCCCTCTCCCTCCCATCTCCTCCTGGCCCATCCTGTCCCCGCCTCCCTCCCAGGGCGACTGCATGCTGAGCAGCATATCCCGCAACCTCAATAAACCCCCTCTCCCTCCCATCCCCTCCTGGCCCATCCTGTCCCCGCCTCCCTCCCAGGGCGACTGCATGCTGAGCAGCATATCCCGCAACCTCGTTGTTGCAGCAGGACGGAACGTCTTCAACCGCCTCATTCCCCCTCCTCCCCACTTGCCCCTTTCCCCTCGTTCGTCCCCCCAACTTCCCAGGGCGACTGCATGCTCAGCACCATATCTACGACCTCGTTGGGGCAGCAGGCCGGAAGCTCAACACCCCCCACTCCCTCCCTTCCATCCCCCCCCTCCCTCTCCCATCCTCCCTCCCAGGGCGACTGCATGCTCAGCACCATCTCCAACAACCTCGTTGTCGCAGCAGGCCGGAACCTCACAGGGGGCTGGGACGCCACAGGGATATACTTCGTAACGCACTGGATTAACCCGGGTAATTTGGCGGAGTGCAACTACATAATCGGGGGTGACCACTGCTACTACCTGGACTAAGCCAGCTCGGGTGTGACTATACGCGGAGGGGCTTGTATCGGGACAGTGGATGGCATGAAGGTCAACAACGGGAAATGGTGAGTCAGCAATGGGGAATGGTGAGTCAGCAATGGGGAGTGGTGAGTCAGCAATTGGGAGTGGTGAGTCAGCAATGGGGATGGGGTGACTCAGCAATGGGGAATGAGATAAAGGGCACCGTCCTGGCATTGTGTCCCCCTGTATTCTTCCGCATTTCCCATTGCTTGCTCCTCTTGCCCCGCTGCCCTCTGTAGGAACCGCATAGAGCATGTGGTGATGAAGGGCACGGAGGGCACGCCGGGGTGGTGCGCGTGCCTCACTGCCACTCGATCACCCTATATCCTACTGCATGATGACCATCCCTTGCGCTTTCGCCCTCTCTTCCCTCCTCAGGAACCGCATAGAGCACGTGGTGATGAAAGGCACGGAGGGCACGCCAGGGTGGTGCGCGTGCATCACTGCCACCATCTGCAACTGCCTCAAAGACCCGGGCAACTACTGGGACCGCATGCGAGCCAAGTACTACAGCAGTGCCGCGTTTCAGCAGGTGGGTCTTGTACCCCTTATAACCCAACTCATAAGATGTTCTAGAGCAGTCTGCAACTGCCTAAAAGACCCCGGCAACTACTGGGACCACATGCGAGCCAATTACTACAGCACTGCCGCGTTTCAGCAGGTATTTACCCTTTATAGGGCAACTCAGTAATATTTCTGGACGGTGTGCAACCGCTTCAAGGACCCCGGGCAACACTGTGATTCAGCTGGTATTGCCCCCTTATGAGCCAACTCGTTAATCTTTTAGCATCGTGTGCAATTGCCCCAAGTGCTACAACAGTGCTCTTCTCCTCTGTTTGCTTCTATTGAGTAGGTTTACCAGTCCACATTCCATCCAATCTATGAAAACCCTCACTACTCTCCACTCTGTTTCCTTTATTCTGTTCGTTTGTTCCGGTTACTGGTATTCTCTTCTTCTTTTTCCTTTGTTGCAATCCTGTCTTTCAGAAATGGCCTTGGATGAAGAGCATTTGTAACGAGACATCTATTAACGGGGTGAAGTGTAACACAAACGCACCAGGCACTTTGAAAGATACCGAGACAGGCAAGTGCAGCGGGCTGCCCACAAATAATTACATCGACCTGGTGTTGGTCGACGTGCAAGATGCCGATATGAATTTCCGTTACTGTGTGGAGAAGCTGCCAAACACACCCAAGTTAAATACGCATCGGCACATCAACGTAACGTCCCGCTCGGCGAAATTCTTCAACTATGTCAGCAACGATCTGGGCGTTATGAAGAGTTCGCCTATTTTCAAGAAGCGGCCCGGATTCAAAAGCTGTCCTAGGAAAACTGTTGGACCCAAAAAGGTAAGAGATTTATTTTACCACAAGAATTTTGGGATTGCTGAGCCGTTGCAGTTTGCATTAGTTAAGTGGATGAATATTAGCCATGTCCATGACCCGAGTCTAATTGATAGGCAGAGACCAAGGCTTGTCTGATGCTGGTGTATACCGTAGTAGGTGATCTTTGGAGGAAAGGCTGATTTGTTTTGTATCCATATGCTCCTCACCCCATTATTCTCAGTAAAGCTCTTTGCCAAACTCGATTGAGGCTTGCTAATACCGCGGACGTACGGACCCAGTGTCCAATCAAGGTCGCCTAGATCAAGTCAGTGACGTGTGATGCTATTATTTGGTGTTTGCTCAGTGAAATAGTTGCGGAGATTATCATGCATGCTCTTATGTGCGCGGCGCGAATGTTGCATTGCATGTCCTCCTCCACCGAGTCGCGTAGTATGTTTCTTGCTGGTCCGTCCGTGCTCATACACTACCGTTTTGCACTGCACGCTCTTAGCGTCGTCGTCTCGTCACCACAACCCTCCTCGTCACCCGTTCTCGTGTCATCGGCTTGCCAACTTGGCCGAACGAGCCGAACCCCCGTAAATTCGAGGCATCGCCTCGTCTCGTCACACCTATCGTGTGTTCCGATGGCTCGTCCCGCATGCCCGAGAGGTTCCGAGCCGAATCGAACCGAATTGAACCTAACCGAGCCGAACGAGTTACACTGAGCGGATCCACCAAGCCCCCCACGCATGGTCGTGTCGATTGAGCCTTGCTCACAGCGAACGACAGCGAACGACGCGGCGTCGCCACCGGCCGGCGAAACTTTCCGAAAGTTTTGTTGACACAGTAATGAGGCGCGAGCACAGAGTCGATCGAGATGGGGGCACAGAGGCGAAGTTTTGTTGACACGCCTCAAAAGGCGAAGGCGAACGCGCGGTTCAAAAACTGGCTTGCAGCGGAGAGGGAGTTTTTCTTATCGGAGGCTCTTAATCCGTCGCTTCCGTCGCTCCCGTCGTTTCCTCGTTCCTTTCCCGTCGCTCCGTCGCTCCTTTCCCGTCGCTCCGTAGTTGTCGTTGTTCCATTTCCTGGTCACTCGCGTCACGATCCTTCGCCATGCGTCGTTACCTCCTTCCCCTCTTCGCCCGTTTCGTCAACTTCGCCACGCGGCTCTTCGACGCGCTCTGCGGTTTTCTCTTCCTCCCGCCACTCGCGACGCGCCTGCTGCAGTGGCTCCTCCCGTTAGAGGAACGCGCGGTGCTGCGCGCCGCGTACAAGGCCACGGGACTGCGTGACTATGGCGAGGGGACGTTCCTGACGGGGCTGCGGCTTCTATTGAAGGGTCTCGAAGAGGAGGCGAGACTGAGCGCGTTTGGGAGGATTCTTATATGGAACGATGTACAGGTACAGTAAATTGTGCATACAAGCAATTACTGCTACAGTAATTGTCTGGTCCATTTTATGGTGTACTGGCATATGTAATGTCGAGCAGGGTGCAGTCAATTATGTGCAGTGGAACGATATTATACATAGATTGAATTGCACTCTCTGCCCTCTCCCCTCCTCCACCTCTCCCTTCCCCTCCGCCTCCTCCCCCCCTTTTCCCCCCCTCCCCCCTTTCCCTCGCCCCCCAACCCCCTCCCCAGCGCCTGCTGCGGTACCGGCTGCATCTGGAGGATACAAGGAGGCAACAACCCGAGATAGAGGAGGAGAAGATTGAGGTGCGTGTGGAGGGAGGGAGGGTGCGTGCGCTTGGGAGGGTGCGTGGTTGCGTCTGGGTAATTGGAAGAGCTGGTGGGTGGCTTGAGTGGGTAGGTGTGTGACGGCGAGGGTGGGTGTTACTGGTTCCTCCTCTCCTCAATTAAGTTGTATCCCTTACAAGCAGGCCCCAGAATTCATCCTTGGCTTGCCGAGCACGGGAACAACCTTACCTTCCTCTTCAACCTCCTCTTGCCCTCCAAACCTCGCACTTCCGCTTCTTCCTTCCCCCCCCCCTTCCCTCTCCTTTCCCCTCTTATCCCCGTTATAAGCAGGCGCTGGTGTTCATATTGGGTCTGCCCCGCACGGGAACAATTTACCTCTTCAACCTCCTCGACACCTCTCTCTTCCCTCCCCCTCCCCCCCCTCCTTCTTGCCCTTCTTATCCGCGCTATAAGCAGGCCCCAGTGTGCATATTGGGTCTGCCGCGCACAGGCACCACCTTCCTCTTCAACCTGCTCGCCCTCGACACATCGCTCTTCCGCTCGCCGCTCACATGGGAGGTGCATCACATGCACCCTCCCCCGGACGCCACCTGCTACGATACTGACAAGCGCATTGGGGAGACTGAGGCGTTTCTGGAGGGGGTCTCTGCTCTGCTGCCTTCTGTGGGAATAGAAGTGTCCTCTCTTTTACTCGCCGCTCACATGGGAGGTGCATCACATGCACCCTCCCCCAGACGCCACCTGCTACGACACTGATAAACGCATCGGGGAGAATGAGGCCTTTTTGGAGGGGTGTCCGCACTGCTTCCTTCCTTCCAGGTGGGTAGTGCTGCTGTGTGCTCTCTTTGTCGCTCGCCGCTCACATGGGGGGTGTCCGCACTGCTTCCTTCCTTCCAGGTGGGTTTCCTTTCCTTTTTCGCACAAAGGGAATTGCTCTCTCTTCTCTTCCGCTCGCCTCTGACTCGCATGGGAGGTGCATCACATGCACCCTCCCCCGGACACCACCTGCTACGACACTGATAATCGCATTGGGGAGACTGAAGCTTTCCTGGGAGCAGTTTCCGCAATGCTTCCTTCCTTCCAGGTGGGTAGTGCCGCTGTGCCGCTGTGCTGATGTGCTGCTGCTGTGCTGCTGATGTGCTGCTGATGTGCTGATGGGTGGGTGCGTTACTCTGCTTCCTACATTCCAGTTGGCTTGTTGTATACGAACAGATGCTCTTTCCCAAGTCAATGCACGGGACTCATACTGCCCTTACAACCCTTCCCCCACCGTCCCCCACCGTCCCGCACCCCTCACCATCCAATTCCCCCCCTGCAGGCGTTGCACCCAGTGACAGCAACAGGACCACAGGAGTGCATGGGACTCATGATGTGAGTGGCGGTGAGGTTACGGTGTGAGTGAGTGGTTCTGGTGGGTTTATTAAGTGAGGAGAAGCCACTTCCCTCATGCCTCATTGTGTTGGTGACCCCATTCCTCATTCCCACATCTATGACCCCTGTTAATGTGATTCTTCAAGTTGATATCGGATTTTTGCCATTTCCTCTGTGAAGGTCATAATGCGATTGATTCTCTGGCTCTCCATCTCACTTTCTCCACCCGCCCCTCCACTGGCCCCATCCCCCGTGCTTCTCAGTTAAGTTAACTCGATACTTATTCCTCCCTTTCTTCCTTCCCTTCGCAGAATTGAGAGTGAAAATTTTAAAGCTCAACCCCCCGAGTCTTTTCTCCCTTCCCCTCCTATCCCACCAGGTACGATTTCACGTCATTCGCCTTCCCCACCATCCACTTTAACGTTCCCTCCTCTCCCGCACTCCCTTCCCTTTTTCCTCTATCCCTCCCTTTCCCCCTTCCTCCCTTCCCTTCCCCCACCAGGTACGATTTCACGTCATTCGCCTTCCCCACAATCCACTTCAACATCCCTTCCTACTTTCGCTGGTACCTCTCCTCCGACCTCACCCCCACCTAGTACCTGCAGTGCAGCACAGGGTTGGGGGTGATGGCAACAGCAGCTGCAGTACCTGCACTGGTGGAGACCCAAGGTCCAGTGCAGTGCAGGCTACTCTAATCTGCACATGAATGTGTTTGCATCTCTACTCTTCCCCCCCCTTCCCCCCTTCTTCCCCCCACCAGGTACGATTTCACGTCATTCGCCTTCCCCACCATCCACTTCAACATCCCTTCCTACTTTCGCTGGTACCTCTCTTCAGACCTCACCCCCACCTACCGCCTCCTGCGCTGGCAGCTGCAGTACCTGCAGTGGCGCGGGCCCAAGGCCCCCCGCTGGCTGCTCAAGTGCCCGGCTCACCTCTTCTCTCTGCCTTCGCTTATGGCTGCATTTCCCGATGCCAAACTCATCTTCACACACAGGTGAGATCAACGGGTTGGGGGGTAGCGGGTTAGGGGGGTAGCGGGTTAGGGGGGTAGCGGGTTAGGGGGGTAGCGGGTTAGGGGGGTAGCGGGTTAGGGGGGTAGCGGGTTAGGGGGGTAGCGGGTTAGGGGGGTAGCAGGTTAGGGGGGTAGCGGGTTAGGGGGGTAGCGGGTTAGGGGGGTAGCGGGTTAGGGGGGTAGCGGGTTAGGGGGGTAGCGGGTTAGGGGGGTAGCGGGTTAGGGGGGTAGCGGGTTAGGGGGGTAGCGGGTTAGGGGGGTAGCGGGTTAGGGGGGTAGCGGGTTAGGGGGGTAGCGGGTTAGGGGGGTAGAGCTGCAACTCCTAAGTGCCCGGCGCACCTCTTCTCTCTCCCCTCACTCATGACCACCTTATCTGATGCCAAGCTGACCTTCACACACAGGTGAGGTGATGATGGGATGATGGAGTGGGTTTGGGTTAGGGTTAGTAGTAGGGGGGCAGCTGCAGTAACTGCAGTGGCCAGGGGCCAAGGCCCCCCGCTGGCTTCTCAAGTGCCCGGCTCACCTCTTCTCTCGGCCTTCACCACTCACTGCTGAACTGCACACACGGGTTTGAGGTTTGGGAAAGAGAATGGTTCAGGGGTTAGGGTTAGTGCGACAGTTGCAGAGTTCTAAGGAGGATGAGGGACCACAGTGTGTGTGAGAAACACACAGTTTACTACAGGGGTAGGGAGGGACCGTCTCGTCACACACAGTTTACTTTAGGGGGATAACGTGCCTTTCTCGAAACCGGCTTTTTCCCACATACTATCGCTCTCTGAGATCCTGTCTTTTTTTTTATTATTTACAAAAACCAGGAATCCGTTGACTGTGCTGGCATCGGCACATAGCCTTATAAGGGGAATACGGAGCATCCACTCGGACCATGTTGATAAATCAGAGGTAAACCTGAGCTTATCATCGTTCTGCTTAACATTCTTCGATCGTTTTCATTGTCAGTGTTATCAATTATATCCAATATCAAAGGTGAACATGTGTCGGTCGTTTTCTTAGGGGCTATACCTATATACATGTCGCCTCCTCCCTCACTCATCTCCCTTTCATCGCATATCAAAGGTGAATATGTCCTGTGCCACCCCGTACCCTTCTGTCTTGCCCCCAGATCTCCCAGACATGGGTGCCAGCTGTCGCAAGCGCATTGGCTGAGATGATGCGGCTGCGGGGGATTGACGGGTCAGGCACAGAGGGGAAAGAAGAAGTGACTGAAGAGAGGGAGCGTACAAATGGCTCGAAGGGTTATGTGACTGTAACGAAGGGGGAGAGGAAAGGGGAAGGAGATGAGGTGGAGGGAAGTGTAAGCAGTACTGTGGGCAACGGAAGCAGCAGCAATGGTTCTTCACCCAATGGTGTAAGCAGGAGCAGCATCAGCAATGGTAGCAACAGTGGTGACAGCAGTAACGAGTTGTCTTCAGTTGACAGCACTCTGGCTCTGCGGTCTTCCCAGGCCGTTGATGTGCGCTACAGCGATCTCGTGGCCGATCCGATGGCCACGGTGCGCCACATCTACCAAGATCTGCTCAAGCGCCAGCTGGACGATGACGTGGCGGATAAGATGCGTGCTTACCTGGCGGCCAACTCCAAGGTACCGTAGGTGGGGATAGGGGAGGGGGAGATGATGGGAGGATGGGGGAAATGTGTTTTTCTTCTTAATTTATTTCTTCCCTTTCCCATCCCTCTTGCTTCAAAACCCTGCTCATTCTCTCCTCCCTTTTCTCACTCCTGTTCTTCCTAACCGTCTCAGGAGAAGCGTCCTCGGCATCACTACAAGTGGGGAGGCACAATGCTGGATAAGCAGCGGGAGGAGCAGTGGCTGTTGTTCCTATTCTCATATCACTCCTACCGTTCTCACTTCTGTTCTGTGTCCTCTCAGGAGAAGCGACCTCGGCACCACTACAAGTGGGAAGACACAATGCTGGATAAGCAGCAGGAGAAGCAGCGCTTTGAATTCTACATTCGTGCGTTTGGTCTTGAGAGCGAGCACTAGAGGTACAGTAGATTATACTCTAGTGGGTCGACAACTGTCCCCACATTAGATGTACGGTAGTAATACTGTATGTTTCCGAATAACCGAGTGCTTAAATTGGTATTGCCTGGTGGCCTCTGCACCAGCTTGGATGACTTTTTAGGGTAAGCTAAGCTGCGGCTTGTTGAAGAGGGTGCATCTTTTTAGGGTAAGCTGTGGCTTACTCTGAAGAAACCCCCTAACAGATCGCTAGGAAACATTCTTCAATGTAAGATGTGACTGCTTTGATCTTGTTGTCTGGGACAGAAACTGTTTCTGACCGCAATGGAGCACCAGTGAGAGTCTGGCAGCCCGCTCTTTCATGCAAAAACACCGGGGACAAATAACAGAGATTACATCCTGATTGTTACAGGTAGATGATTCAAACACCATAACAAGACAATGGAGCAAGTGCATATAAATCCACATTGAAGCCGTTTCCCTGAAGGGGAATGAAAGAATGGTTGTGCCAGGGAAGGCACAAGAGAGTACCGTAAGAGCACTCAGGACAAGGGTGTGGTGTGGTGTGAGGCTGGTCTGGGGAGGAGGGGCAAGGGAGGAGTGATGGGAAAGGGGGAAGTATTGGTGGTTGAAGGCCACGTGAAGCGACGTTGTTTTTGAGACGTCTCAAAAACAACCTCGCTTCGAGGGGCAAGGGAGGAGTGATGGGAGAGGGGGAAGTATTGGTGGTTGAAGGTGATGCGACACAAGGAGTGAGGCATTGCGTGAGGCAAGAGGCAGGGAGAATGAAGCAAGAGTGAGGTAAGCTGCGAGGCAACGAGCAAGGTAGGGAATTGAGAGAAGGTGGAGAGCAGCCAATATCAGGCAGAGCTCCGTATTTGGACCAAATCATTGCCAGGGTGATGGCAAATCAAATCAACAAATCATATTGTCTTCTTCTCATCCTCCTGGCATCAGGAGGTGATGATGTCACGGCACGGAAAGCTCAGCCGACGCGGTTTGTAACAGTAGCGGGTACTGTAGCTGTAGTTATAACTCCCTGAGTGTAACAGCAGCAGTGGCACCAGAGCACTTCAAAGCTTCACTTCTGGAACCAGAGCATCGCCAGTATAACATCTTATTAGGGCAGGAACTTGTAGCGCGTACAGCTCGCCACGAATTTTTTCTCTAGTCATGGTCGGAACACGCAGCTCCCCGCCAGCCCTGGTATTTCCGCGTCCGCGTCGTCCGCCCAAGCTTCTGACCACATCTGCGCGAATCCGCCAGCAGGGGCACTCGGAGAACCATGCGCGGAACGGAACGGTGAACCACACTGCGGCGCGTTCTGCTGCTCCCCATCTGCCTCCCCCACTTCCCCCTGTTTCCGCTGCAGCTGAACACTGCTCAACATATTCCGAGCAGCAGCAGGCTGATCATGCGATAGTTTATTGGATGGAATCTCCGCCTCGTCCGCCATCCCCGCGCCCTCATCCGCCATCCCCGCGCCCTCATCCGCCATCCCCGCGCCCTCATCCGCCATCTCCACTCCATCCTCCGCCATCCCCGTCGCTTCGTCCCCCATCTCCGCCCCCTCGTCCCCCATTACTTGAATCCGCTCAAACATGCTCTCCCCGTCGATCATTAACCCCTCCTCGTCGTCAGCTTTCCCCGTATCTTCCATTTTCACCGAATAATCACCCCAGCTGTCGTCTAGCTGCGACACAACAGGCGCAACCTTCTCGAAGTGAGCTGTTTCTTCCGCCGGAATGCGATTTTTTTCCGCCCATCCCGGTTCGTCCTCCATCTCTCCGCCCGCTTCTTCCCCCTCGCCCGCACCGAACTCCAGCAGCAGCTCCTCGAAAAACGATAAATCTCCGCCGTTGGCGCTCGCGTCGTCGCAGATCTGGACCGTCAGCGACGCTTTAGACGCGGACGGGGTGGGAGGCGGAGTGGTGGGGAGAGCAGACGCGGAGCGGTGCCGCTTAGAGAGCGACCTTTGCGGCGCCTCAAATGTTGAACTCTTAGAGAACGGCGGTCGGGGAGATTTAGCAGCGGCAGTCGAGCAGACGGACGAGATCATATCGGATTCCCATTGCATGATGTCCCACAGGCTCGGCTTCTCGCCTTCCGCGTCCCTCTCGCGGCTTCGATTCTCCGCGCACTCGCCGCCGCACACCTTGCCGCACTCGCCTCCGCACTCGACGCGTCCCGCTCGCTTGTTGCCGTCCGCCATCGCTTCGCGGTCTATTCGACTAACTCTTGTGAGTCCGGCCGACTCATTATTCTGCACCTCTTCCGTGCGGGAAAGAGAGAGCTTTTCTCGCAACCACGGCGGTATGTCCAACGTGTCCATGTCGGCAGATTCAGCCCATTCGCATGTCGACACGTGGCCGTTGACTTGGTCAACGGCGCCAATCGTTGGGCATGAAGATGCGGGGGAAACGGCGGCGGGGGAGTAACCCGAAGCGGATAATGTTCCGCGGATGGCGGACGCGCCCGCGGAGACGGCGGGCGCTCCTCCGCCGCTATCTGCTGCAACGTCACACGTGCGCGCTCGGGGCAGTCGCGGCTCGACGAGAGGCGGACACGATGGAGTGGTTGGCGCGGTGCCACACTTTTGAGGCGCCTCGAAGACAGTGCAACACGCCCGCGGAGAGGCCGCGGAACGAAAGGCCGGAGGCCGCGAGGCAGTGTTTTGAGGCGGCTCGAAAGGCGCGGGCGTGCTTGTCCGGGGGGAGGTAAAACGCGCTTCGGGGATGCGCGGGGAAGGAAAGAAGGCGGAATCCGGCAATACGAGCAGCTTGGGGGAAGCGGGGAAGGCGGAACAGGCGGGGAAGGCGGAGGAGACGGGGGAGGATGTCAAGCGGAGTGGCGGAGGAGCGGAGTCGTCGGCGGGATCTGCTTCCGCCGCAGCCGGCGACCGCATTCCCCACGCGAGAGTGCGAGCCTTCGGCGTTAGCGGAGGCTGACGAATCTCGCGACGGCGCGGCGGTCGGGGCGAGCGCTTCGTGGCGAGTCCAGTAACAGTACTGGCACCGCATTGCGCGGCGGTGATAGCGCCGTGTTGAGCCGTGGCGCTAGTAGGTTGGGGCGTCTCTGTTCGACCGTATGCAGGCCAGTCGTTGCAGAAAATCTTAGCAGGCTCGGCATGTCGAAATTCCCCCTCTCTCTCCCTGCCAGATCTTGGAGCCGCGTTGTCAAGATTTGCAGAACCGGCGCCCTCTGCGGGTCCCACGGAAGCGTCAGAGGCAGGATCTTGAATAAATCTAAAAAATACCTCGCTATTACTAGTTCTTGGAGCGGCATTGTTAAGATCCGCGAAAGCATCGGTAGAATCTGCGGCAGCAGGCGGCTCGGAGCGGGTTTTTCGAGGCGTCTCCGGGCCGCATTGCCTTCGCTTTCTTGGACTTGGCGCCTGAAGGCTCGGCATCATTGGGAGGCTCGGCATCTGGATGTTCGGCATGGATAGGCTCGGCATGGGATGGTTCGTCGCTGAAACGGGCTCGGGGCTGGTTTTATCTTTGGGGAAGGGATTCGTGGGCCACGTGGGTTGATGCTCGAACCACTCAGACGGAGCGTCTTTCGTCTTTGCCGCGACTCGAAGGGCATCCATGAAGCTCATCCCGCACGCCATGGCTGCGAATGTGCCAACTGCTGCAGTTCCGGTGCGCTGCTGCTTATGCGCCTCTAAAGTTAATAATTTTAGGAGCAAATATGCGGGCCGTCAACGCAGTCTTTCCGAATGGATGGTGGTGGATAATAATTATGCTACTCTTCCTCCTACGGCCAGTTGTCTCTGGTGCAACTGGGAGGATTTTTGAGTCGATTCAAAAATCAGTCTTTCCGAGTGGATGGTGGTGAATGATAACGACTTCTCTTCCCCGCACAGCTGGTAAGTTGCAACTGCGAGGTGGGTGGGGTGGACTCCTGCAGACTGAAAGAGTACGCGTAGACGTAGCCCCTTCCTCCTCCTCACCCCACCACACTCACTACTGTAATTTGGACGTCAACGTGGTGCCATAGACGGTTAGAGTTAAAGCCGTGGCCCAACTATCAGCTTCAACTTCGAAGTATTATAGCTTGGAACTTGGTTGTCCCAGGCAGTTCTGTGGCGAGAAGTTTGTCTTTTCCGAGATTCCATTTTTTTCATCCAATAAGGGTCTCGTTACGCACACTCCATGTTTGTCCTGCTACTGTTTCTAAGAAGTTGCACCCCGCCTTTAAGGTGAGTGGCATTTCTGATTGCGGCCATTATCTCCGATACTCAGATTTTTCCAGAGCGCGTTCTCAGGTGTGATCAACCTGGACTTTCTCAACGTTGATTGGTCGTCGCTTTTTAGTCACATTTCTCACGCTGGTCGAACTCATTAGGAAGTAAAAAAAACAAAACCATCCAGTTTACCCTCCCGACTTGGATATATGTACGGAAATTAAGGTATTAAGAGAATGAAGCCCATATAATTCACTTGGTAGTACTCAGTAGCGCAACCGACCGCTAAACAAAACTACCGAAAGCACTAGACGACACTACCGATATCTATTCGGGCATGGCAGAAAAAAAATAAAACCCCTAGGGAACCTGGATGCATTTTCGAGAGGGGTCAACCCTAAACACGGGAATGGGCATCGTTTTTAGGGTTGATGCCTCCCGAGCCGCATCCCAATCCGAGGTGGGTATTATTTTTTTTGTCAAGTGGGTTGCAGTATGTTTTCCAAAATATTGAGTGGCTTTCGGTATTTAGGGTTGATCCTTCCTGGAAATCATATAGTTTCGCTACGGGCATTATATTTATTTTTTTGCAAGTGCTAGAATTCCTTTTTTGAGTGACTGTATACAAACATGAGCCAGAATAACTTCACACTATATCAAGAAACTGTGATTCTGTTGGTGATTACACCTGAGAACGCGCTCAGGCGAAATCTGAGTATCGGAGATAATGGCCGTTTTTGATTGGCAAGGAACATCTGCTGGGCGAGTATAGCTTGACCTATCCCTGCACAGCAGCACACTCCGCTCTGCTTGCAGTAAGGAAGGACAAGCAGGAGGCGGAATGGGGGGAGAAAAGGAGGTCGGTGGGAAATATCAGAACCCAGGGCTGGCAGGAAAGTAGGACCTGTGCGTGTAAAGGTGCGCCATAATAGGGGAACGAGATCTTGTCATGTGGTCGGAGCGGAGGGGAGTCGGAGGAGGGGAAGGGGAAGGGGGAAGGGGGAAGGGGGAAGGGGGAAGGGGGGGACCGGGCCGGGACAGGGGATGTGTGCAGAGCAGGGGCGAGGGAGGGGGAAAACTGTACACACACTTCGAGGTGGGTGAACATGTGTACTGTACTTCGAGGTGGAGGGATAGTCGTACTGTATCCCCCATGCTCGCATTTGAGGGAAAGGTTGGAGGCGGCGGTGCAAGGTTTTCTAGCATTCTTTTCCAGAGCTAGGCAGAGGGAGTGTTTTGCGAGATGGATGGATTGTGTGGAATGCCACGCAGACGGGTAGGTGAAACATTTTTGCCTGGAAGGGGATTGGGAGAAATGATGAGGATGGGCAGAGAAGTGGAAGGCGGAGCGCAATTCTCTTCGGTTTGGTGGGAGAGGCTGTTGTTCACTTGCCGTGATGAACAGCATCTTCGACTTGGGTGGACGTGGTGTATTGTCCCAGCATCATGAGCCACACATGGCTGGAGTGGAGAGCTGAGACTCGTAAAATAGTTGTGCCGGTGGTAAGTGTTAACGAACAATGTCTGCTAGGCACTGGGTTGTCGGTGGTGAAACAATAAAATTAATCCACAACATTTTTATGACTTACAACACTTGAACTGGGTTATGCTCTTCTGCAAACCATGTGTGACGTGACATGACGGAGAATAGAGAAATCTTTTGCGTGCGTTGCGGAAAGCCATTCAAACAAAGGCTTTACTTCAATTCCAGTCTGGTCAGTCTCACCCGACCTGACCAGCCCATCCCGCTCGCAGGTTTTTGGGAAGGATCGTGTTCTCGGGTGTGGAAAACTGTCGGGACACGCTGTCGACGTACACGTAGGACAGCTGGGCGCGTGGCTCATCAGTGCAAGAAAGGGCAAGCTGACATCACCAAGCCAAATCAGACACGTGCCCACCAGGAATTTTAGAAGTAGAATTGCTGGACTTTGTCGCGCTGTCCTTCCCGTAATCGCCAAATATCATGATACTGTATATGCTCTCTACCTTAGATGCAGTGCTCTTGGAACTAATTGTTTTCAGGTCTTCTTATCTTACCGTAAGTGGTGTTCGACATGGGATGATGAAGGGCTGTCCAGAGGGAGAATTGCCTAATTTCTCGCCTCATGTATGGGAGACTACAAACACCCACTGGTATCTCACAATAACATTCAGAAAATTATTATAAGGCGTTTGTGAAACTACTACGAAGGTCTTAACAATGACGACTTCTTACTGAATGTAACATAAGTACAAGCATAATACCCAATTGCAGATACCCATAACCTCTGAGAGGGTAGTGAACAGTAGTTGACCGCGTCCTCTATAAGAGGCGGAATGCGCCACTAGCACAATCACCGTTATAGAACTCTACCCTTTTGGTTATTTCAACATCGAAAAACACGGGAACGGGAAGCACCTAGAAGAGGTAATCAGGTATCATAATAGCACCCAACAGAGCGGGTTCCATCGGGCAATCCCCACCTGGTTGGGATAAAAGAATAAAGACATACAGTACACCAGAGGAAACAAGAATTGAGAGGGTTGGACTTTGGAGAATTCTCAAAAGCGACAGGGTGGACAGACAATATGGTACAACGGTGCACCGTGCACCATTGACATGGTATCGGGAAACCCAATATGCAATGAGTTTATGCATCATGACGACATGCAGACTGCGAGATGATTTGCGAATGGTAACTCACGTTCTTGCCATCGCAACCGTCAGAGGACCAGCCATTGTGCGCGACAAAGTTCGGCTCGAGGGGAAGCAGTTATCGTCAGTGAAAAAAGTGACGTAGAAACGGTTTGTGATTGGTTGGCAACTTACGTTCTCGCCATCGCAACCGTCGGAGGACCACCCATTGTGCGCGACACAGTTCGGCTCGAAGGGGAGCAGTTATCGTCAGTGAAAAACGCGACGTAGAAACAACCCGGAACACCGTTAATGTGATCCAGTGAATACATGAAAGAGTATATCCCGGCAACCTCCTTCGGGATTGGAGTGCAGCCGGGTTGATTCAAGCGGATGGTGTAGGGCTTCGATGCGTTGCCTTTGGCGTTGGGATCTGCGACGAAAGTCATACTGCTGGCAGACACTTGGTCAGGTGAACCTGGGAACGGATGGGAGAAGCAGCGGGGCAAACAGCAGGGGAGTGGGGTGGAGCATGGATGGGAAAACCAGCCGTTGATGTGACCCAGTGAGTACATCAGCGTGTGGATCCCGGCATCCTCCTTCGGGTCTGGAGTGCAGCCGGGTTGTTTCAAGCGGATGGTGTAGGGTTTGGACGCGTTGCCTCGGACGTTAGAGTCCGCGGTGAGAGTCATGCTGCTGGCAGACACTTGGTCGGGTTGGTCTGAGAATGGATGGGAGAAACAGCAGGAGGTTTTTTCAGGCACCTCAGACAATGCCTCTGGTGTTACTAACCCGGAAGAGAGTCATACTGCTGGCAGACACTTGGTCGGGTGAACCTGAGAACGGATGGGGCAAGCAGCAGGGGAGAGGGGTGGAGCATGGATTGGAGAGGGAACGAGAAGGTCATGTCATGATGCTATGAATCGGGAGAAGAAGGAACTGTGAAGGTAAAAATCTGATCCGCGTACAAGTCGCCTGCTGCAATACACCAGAGTCAGGGGAAAAAAAAAAAAAACAAAAAAAAAACAAAACAGAACAAAACGAAACGAAACAAAAAAACATTCCAAGTTCAAGCTACCGCTGCACTCCAAGCTGTGTAGTCGTTCCGTAAGGCGCCTCAAGTTTGAGGTGCCTCACAAGTAGAGTGGCTCTCCGCTTCAGGAACATGCCACCCACCTTTGAGGAACCTCAACCTTCAGGTTGAGAGGCTTTTCTCAGGCCCACATCATGCGCTGAGCCAGTGAAAATGTTTTGACTCGACCCAAAGCTTGAGAGGCTTTTTTCGAAAGTTCTCAGGCCCCCATGAAACGCTGAGCTAGGAGAACGCAGCATGTGATCGAAGGAGAGGAAGCAGACGAGGCGGTATTGAATCTTACAAGGTGACTTTTGAGTCGACTCAAGAGTAACCGTGAAAAGCCGAGCCAGGCGAATGCCGCATGTGATCAAAGGAGAGGAAGCAGACGAGGCGGCATTGAATCTTAC